GACCATAAACGAGTTTAAATCAGATGGGCCAGTGAAATTCGTTAACCAGGGAAATCCTATGAATCGGCGATAAATCAAGCTGATATGAGTTATCAGTTGAAGATCACTTAAGTAGTTTGGCTGGGCTTTTCCAGGGGGAAAATCAAATCTTTAGGCTTTCTATAAAAGTCTTTGATACGAAGCTGGTAAGTTTTTCTGGATATCTTACTCGTAAGATCATTACAAAGTGATCTTTTAAGTGATCTATAAAAATTAAACAGCTTTTGGACATATTAAGTGGTTTATATTACTTAGTACTCATACTATAAACCAAACTAGAAGTATGACTCATGTCTATAAAGGTCTTAAGTTTTAAATAAACGGGTATTATAGATAAGTCAACTATTTTATGAAGAGCTATAGACAAGTTAAGCCTCTTAACTATTGAAATTCGCCAACTAACTTGAACTTTCTTAGCCTTAAAGACCTATGCTGATACATATTTCTATTATAAAATAACACATTCTGTATAAAGTATATTATTTATTCCTAATACTATGTAAACTTTAAACCTAAAACACAGTATTCATGTCTATAAAAAGTTATAAAAAAGTTGTCAAGTTAAAAAAAACACTATTTTACCACGAGGATCGTTAATAGATAAGTTAACAATATTTTATGAAGAGCTATAGATTATTCAACCCTCCCAACTTGTGGAACTTCCACTGTAGCTTAAACTTTCTTTGTGGTCAAATCACATTATTCCTATGCTGATAATAATTTTGATGGATGTCTATGATTGATGGTTTGATTAGAAACATAAGGAAGGGTTATGTTATATCTAACTTTGATGGATATTAATGCAGGTTAATTAAATTGGTCAAGACTTACCCTCAAGGTGTTCTGATGGCGATTGTTAGAGGTCAAGTCCAACATAGAACTAGCCCTTAGCTTTTGATTTTGTTCCGAATTGATAACAGTTAATGATGGTTCCTGCTGCTTTTCACTTATTTGAATTTCCGGTGTTAAAATTGTATTTTCCTGAATTATATTTAATTCCTGACTTTGATATGGATCTGGATTTCCGCACTCACTGCAGGATATATTCTCCGCCGATCTGGCAGCTCGACTTGCCAATGGTGATGATGATGCCGTTGATGAGGCTGCCGATGCTGTTGTGCATGTCGAGATTGTGGGCGATGTCGATGTCCATGTGGCCGTGGGTGGTGTTATACTTGTGAGCGTGACTGTTAGTCTACCAATACCATCGTTGTTGTTGTCAATCGTATTCCAGCCTCCATTGTTGTTGTAAATGCTGGTATTGTTATTGTTGTTGCTGGTGTTGTTATTATTCGAATTACTTGAGTTTTTGGCATTGGCGTAGAACACCTGGGAAATGCTGCGAAATATGGTGCGATAGCCCCTTTTGTTCTCCGCATCGCCGGCCATGATCACAGTTTCGCGAAAATCAAAACCAAAAAACAGCAACACAAAAACAAAAAAAGATGAACACCAAAATCACACACTCAAAAATCTGCACGATTATCTTCTTCTTTCCCAATTCTCCACACTCTTCACTTTACACTCATGGGTTGTTGTTGGTTTTTGTTTTCGTTACTTTTTGTTTCTTTAATTTCTATATATTTCTTTCTTTTTTGTTATGTGCGGGAGTTACACTGAAAAGAAATTGCATTGGTTTTAGGCATTACGTTTTAGGGTTTTAGGTTTATTTATTATTTGGCAAACATTGGCATTGCAAAATAAACAAATTATAAATTTTAATTTTAGTTTTTACCCATAACATTAAGTTTTTAGCTTTTCACTTTTATAACCTTTATTTAAGTTCTGGTATAACGTTTTATCATTTTCTTCAGTGTACTTAAACGAAACGGTAAAACGACAAACGAAAAGCAAAGACATGAGCAACGCCTTCTACTTCTTATCTTATTTTTCGGTTCGGGCAGCGGCGGCCAACTAAATCGTTTGCCTGCTTACCGCCTTCAAGCGCCAGCGTTACCGCCAACGCCGACTGCGACGTTGACGCTGGCAGAGGCAGTTGGCGTAATCGGTTTTCTTGCCGCCTTTAGCTGTTGCTTCTTTTTGCGGACTTTGTTGGTCTTTTTTTTTGGGTTTTTGTTTTGTTTATGGTGCTCTTCTAGGCGCACAGTGGTTATTGTGTGCATTTTTAGCAAAGAAAATAGGAGTTAATCCTTGCCAAGCGAAATTTTAATAAAATGTCGTTTTATTTAAGGGAATTAACACTATAAGCTGATTAAATTTATCTCCTAATACAATATAGGTGTAAAATATCTTGAACTTACAAGATTTTCAGTGTTGTTGACTACATTTCTAAGAATAGCAAAGTTCTAGTTAAACAAATAAACAAAATATTTTTACTATAGAAGATTTTTAAACACGTTTATGCAGCTGCTATATACCTAACCCATTATTCATATTTATGGTAATAATCTTGCATATTAATTAGACTCAAAACTTGTTTTAAGGTAAGCTATAAAACTGCCAGTTTTAATGTGTATTTTAATTTTGATTTATTGACTTATTGAACATGTTTTTAAGCCTAATGTTCCATTGATTTAATAGTGGAATATTGATTTATCCAGTAACCACTGTGCGTGTTGACTTTTATATTTATTTACATATTCCCTATCCACCTTATCGAGAGCTTTCTTTGCCTAGTCCGCATGCAAATCGCGGAACAACAATGTGAAGTATGTGAATATATGAATGTATATACTCATATATATATGCAGATATATTGAAAACCCGAAAGCAGATGCCAGCAGATGGAGAACAATAGTGACACAAATTGGACAAAACAACAGAAAAATGGGAGACAGAGGGGCTTATCAATCACGACTTTCACCGAAAAAAACAAAAAATAATAATCCGCGTCGAAATGATGCAATTCCACTGTGCGCTTAAATGTTTTACACACTTGTCCCTGGGTGTTTATCAATGCCCACCGTTGTGTCGTTGTTGTTTTTATAGCTATGCTTGTTTTCGTTGTCGCTTATCACGCTCTAGTGTGTGTAAGTGTGTGCCATACACACACGCACAACTGCAGTCAAAATAATAGTTGTGAAAAATGATAATGCAATTGCTTAATTTTTATTATTTTGGTTGCGAAGCACTGATTACAAAGCAATTAGGAAATTGTTGATATATATTTTTCAAAAATTGAGTCGCAGTATTTTAATGTTAGATAAATATAGAATGCATATATAATTTTACACATTTTTTAGATTTACAAACACACGATAAATTATCCCAAAAGTCACAACAATGTGTTAGAAATGGAAAATTTGACTTGCATTTCATTTTAGCCCAATTATTTATCTAAAAAAAATCCTAATATCTTGTCCACAAATGTGACCATTGTTTGCTCTTGATTTTGTATCTCAGCAGACCCAATTACGAGTGCATTACTCACTGGCCAACAGAAACTGCAATGGCAAAATTCAATTGCCAGCGATGTTATGGCCAAAGCGTATTGATATTGCCGCCGAAGATGCAACCAGCAACATGCAACAGATATTGCAAATGCAATCGTCACGTACGCGCTTTAATTAAGTGCACTCGGCACTCGCACATCACTGCTAAAATTAACTGAAAAATCAACAACAAATTAACGAAACCGAAGAGCAAAACGAAAGGGACGGCGGTTGACAGGCGACTAAAATGCTAAAATACAAAATACAAACTATGAAGCGACTAACTGGCCAAGTGGCGCACACAAAAAAAAGAAAGAAAAAAAACCTAAATAAAAGCACCAGCAACTGGAAATAAACAAAAAATCTGAAACCAAAAACCGAAAAACGAAAACCAAAAACCGAAAAACCAAAGCAAAACAACGGCGGGACAAAACAATACCGAATGGGAATAGGAATACGAATACGAATACGATAGATATGGAAATAAAATAGATGTAACCGAAAGCTGAAGAAACACCGGCCGCACCTCTGCCTCAGTCGACGCCTCCGTCGCGGTTGACAGAAGCAGCAGCGACAACAGCAGCAGTGACGGTTGAGGCAGAGTCAGAGGCGTCGACAACCCACGCAAACGTCAAACGGAAAGGGAGAGACCCCAAAAAAGCTAGAGAACTGGTGGGGAAGAAAAGAGGAAAGGGATTGGAGGCAGTGCGTCGACATGGAGATACCCACTATATAAGGTGTGATAACATTATGACAGACTTTTTTTTTACTTTCCGTTCCCTATAAAAAGTTTTCTTTCATTCAAAAATCCCTTAAAACTTTTTTTAAATCTTTCTTTTGGACCTAAAAAGTTAACTGTCTAGAAGTTTCAGATATTTTGTATATTTATAAGGTAATTAGATTAAATCTTTATCACTTTTAAATGCATATACATACATTATCTTTATTAATTATCTTTCGATTGTTAGAAGAAGATAAAGAATCGTATAAAAATGATATACAAAATGTGTCTACTTTAGATTAAGTTAAAAAAACGTCATATTTAGTAATGCAATGGCTCTTTCCGCGTAAATTAATAAATAGTAATGGGGATTTTTTTTGTTTTTAATCAAGTTAAGCTTCAGTGAGTCACTGGGAGTGGACACTCCAACTGATATGCCCCACGTGAGCGAGTGCTGGGGCACAATTAAACGCCACACGAATGGGTTTTGAATAATATTTACATTCATTCCGCCTGAAAGAGTGTGAGTGAGCTACGAGCTGCGGGTTGCGTGGCGAAGGCGGCCAAAAAGCGAGCAAGTTGCGTTGTTAATGTGCGCAAAACAATGCTCAAAGCCGCTTGACGATCGCAGCAGGGCGCGGGGGAGCAACTGGGGGGCTGGGGACGATCGTCCCAGCGCAAAAAAAAATAAATGATGAAATTATGGCAGCAACTAGTTATAAACAATGCACATTAAATGCCAACAGCAAAGACAACAAAAAGCAGAAGCAGAAGCGGCAACTCAACAGAAAGTTAATTCGTATGTAGACTTCAGAAGCAGATTTTAGCAACAACGAAAAATGGCAGAAAATTGGTAAGAAAAAATATATCTGGCTAAGAGGGTTTAGAAAAATCAAAATAAAGTAAGAGATTTAATAATATAATCATGCAATTTAGTCATATTATTAGAAAAGGAACTAACTAAGGCTTATTTTATGGTCTAAAACGTACCTACATTTATGACAATCAAAAATCTTGACTCCTTCCACTCTGCTTATTGAAAACTCAAATCAATCTTAAGAGTCTAAAGTCTATTTAATTTTTCACCAATTTTTGATCCACGCAAATATTTTAAAACATAGAAATACAATATTTTCAAAGGGTTAGTGATATATATGTAATAACCATGTGTATGAAAGCAAGAAAGCACGACGGCAACGTCACTTAGGTCGAGGGTCGGTCGGCGGAGGAATCGAATCGATCTGGTAATTCTGGATTCCATAAAGATCCTAGACGGGACTCTCCAAAGTACTGGCCGATGAGGAAGTTCGCAGTTCACATAGTTCTTGCATTAAGTCCCTAAATAGCATGGGATTCACATTCACGCTGACCTTCATCATCAGGAACCAATCCCCAATGGTTAGGTCGCCCAGGGCTCGCTTCACATGCCTTTTGCTCATGAAACGCAACTGACTGCGAATCATCTGCTCGCGGAGATTCCTGCTAAGGATCATGGCCAGTCGGCAGAGAAGATTCAGTCCAGACATAAAAGCCATCAGCAAGAACCACGCCCACAAGAATACAAAGATCTTCTCATTCAGGATATTCAAGGGCAAGATGCACAGGTTGTCCATAATACTAGCCGTTCCACTGGCTCCAAATTTAAGCACCTCGCACTTGGCGATCTTGGGAAAGACACTCGAGGATATACGATTCCAACGATCCCAGTCGTAGAAAGGAATGGAGGCCATGGCGTGAAGGTACTTTGACCAGAAACCATTTAGGAACACCTCCAGAACGATTATGTTCACCACCTGTGGATGGGTGACTTTGTGTGTTAATAAAGTAATTAAAAAAAATTTTCTTTTTTTTAGATCTACTCACACTGATGAGAAAATTGAGGACCTCGCAGAAGACGTACTTGGCCATGTAGCAGAAGTGCATGTCCTCGTAGTCGGTGGTGAAGTACTTGACCAGCAGGCGCAGCCTGGTGTTGTAGGTATCTTCCGAGAGCAGGGCCTCACCCACCTCCGAGCAGAGTTGCTTAAGCCGCTGGCCCTCCCAAACCTTCCACAGACATGAGGGAAAGTAGAAGACGAAGGATTCGAAGAGCAGCAGGATTATGACCCATTGATAGTAACGCAGGTATTCCCTCTCCGATTGACCACGGATTTCGGGACCCACGCCCTCGGCTATTGACATGGCTCTGGCATAGACCTCATTGTAGTCCACCAATTTGCGAAGATAATCTCTGGAACGAAATCTGGTACGGGTACGGGAATATGCCGTTGTTGCGGGTGTGGATAACGACGATGACGACGTTGCGGATGTTGATGAAATGGTGGTGGTGGCTAATTCCGGTGGCAACTGGATTTGCTGTTCGCTATTGTTATCCATCTTGAGAATGTAAGTGCCCATGGTCCAGCAATAGGATTGGATATACTCAATGTTCTTCTCCTCGCTGATACACTGGATGGGATCACCAAAGTATTGACGTGCTGACAGGAGTAAGGAACAAGTGAGGAGGATGACCACTGTGCACCTGGAATGGATGGTGAAGACGGCGTCGTAGATGCGAATCGACTTGAATTGTAGATACTTGGAGAGCGGCTTCACCGCCGAATACATTTCTTCTGCCTCCGGGAAGAGTTCCTCGAGGACAGCTTCCAACTCTCACTTCTCCCTTTCGCTGTGCTCCGCCTTGGAACTTCTGCACTACCCAGCTTTACCCTCGTCCTGCCTTTATTACTAATCTTGGTGCTATAATCTTTGGTTGTTGATGTTTTATTTTGACTGCGTTTCAATTGCCGGACTAGGATGGTAGCCAGTTCACAGATCAGATCTCGGTCTCTCGGCTTTACATATTTTTTTGTCCGTGCCGTCATTATTACCTACTTTGCTTTTTTCCCCATTTCTCTCGCCTGAGACTCAGTAGTCAGTCGAATGGTTCCTGTCATCCAATGTCAATCTCTCGAATCTAGAATCGAGACAGAGAGTTGCCACAAAAAAATATCTAAAAGTTATTTTAAGCCATCTGTTGGAATGAAAGTATATTGCCTACTTTCAGGCAGTTTGAAAAAAATCAAAAATAAATCGTTTACATTTCTCGTTTATTTGTTAGCTTTTTAAACCATTTCTTAATAATTTCTTATTCATTTATAGTTATAATTCTCATGATTCATCGCTTCAGCCTTGGCTCTCTAGGTCAGCTCATCAAAATTTGTGGCCAAAGCTCCATTTGCCGCCAGTCATCAGTCCAAGTTCAGGAATCCAATTATCGAGGGTATCTGCAATAAGGCAATGGGTAGGTACAGCTAATTACCATAAATCAAATAAATTTATATAGCCTACTGATGATGACAGTGACCTTCAAGGTTCAAGAAATATGTATCACATTTTCTTTGAGACCCCAAACAAAAGACAAAAAGTGCCAACACACAATGACCCCCTCATCTAATATAAATCGCTTATGGAGTAATAATTAGAGGGGAAAAAAAGTTGAAACTGGGTAATAATAATTTGTTTGGATGTGATAAAAACATATTTAAAAATGTTTATTATTACTACTGTAAAAATATTTAAAAATATATCTTATCAAAGAGATGGACTTAATCTTAATCTTAAACTTCAACTTAACCACAAGTCGGCAGAATCACAAAAGCCAATGATAATAAAAAAGCTAGTTTGTCCAATCATCATTATCATTTGTTATAACTTAATTGTCATTTTAAAATATAAATTATATAATTAAATAGTTAGAGGTCTTAGTTCATTGAACTTAAAACCAGGCAGCATAAATGTAAATAAATTAAAAAGCCAAAGATAAAGTTTCTAAGTGCCTAACTCATGCTTACTTTTAGTATATTCATTAATAATTATTATTAGTTTTTATATGAGAAATTTCTATATAAATTTGCTATGATTGGCTTACCAAAAAAGAATTTTTAAACTTCACGGAAAAGAAGCTTGAAACCAACTTTTAGGAGTTGGTTTTTTCTGCTTTTCGTTGGTTATGTTTATTTTAATGTTGTAACACCTTAAATCTCCTTTTTTTTATGACAGGTGGTAGAACTTAATGGTTTTAACTACGGAAGGTTTAACATTCAATGATCTATGTATGATTTCCTGAAGAAGTTGACCCTGAAAATGGTTCTAGAACTCAAGAAAACTTTACCGAGAGTCAACGCAAGTTAACTTAAGAACCCAAAACAACTTAATTACCAATTCAATCATATTTGTAACAGAAAACCATTTGTTTCTTAGCCATTTCCTGTCTGCCAATCGAAATCAAACAAAACGCTTTAGGCGCTCTTTTGTTAAAGTATCTAAATACTTGAACAAGCAGATACTTTTGACACCTTCTAGCTGAAACTTGGGGTGCGCAGAAGATGATGGAAAAATAATATATAAAATAACCATAAACTGGTGTTCCCTGAACTTGACCTCCAATGGCATTCGAGCCAACAAACTAACAATAAACAACCAACAACAAAAACAACTACAGCCAACAACAACAACAACTTGATGTGGCAAACACGTCACGATCGGTGGATCGAGTTGTGGAGCGCCAAATTGAGCGTTAAGAGCTTCTCGTTTGGCTTCCTCTTGTAACTTCAATACTTATTAATTTATTTTGGAGCGATGAGTAAGCATCTTTTTGTGTTGTTTGTTGCTTGAATTTAAAATTCAATAAGGAAATATGCGGAAGTTCTGTTTGTATTTTTTAAGATACTTTTTGTCCTTTTTGGTGTTTGATGGGTATTTTTATTACTATTTTTGAGATTGAAATTATATTGATTTATTTATAGCTAGCAAGATAAGTACTTAGTGGAAGAGGAAGTTTATAACTTGGAAAATATAAAGTATATTATACTAAAGTTGTGTCTTGATAGAGTTAGAAGCTACTGGATACGAATTTCTACAAAACTATACCAATATTCCTTCAAAATATGAAAGCTAAAGCTTAATCTGCATAGATTTCTTAGAGATATTTCTACATATTACTATAAATTACTATATAATACCATATAATACTATATATTACTATATAATACTACCTAAAAGTAGTCAATAATAACACCTCTTTAAGTTTTACTCTCAGTTGCCACTGTTTCTGGTTCTCCTTTCGATTCTAAAACTCTGTCTTGCTGTTTTTTATACTCCCCCCTGAAAATCGCGTTCCCTTCAACCTCATCGTTCCGCCACGTTGGGCACAGTAATAATTAAGATACTGGAGCACAGATACTTTGTGATATTCGAGGTAAAAAGCTGACTAGAAATCGACTGTCATCATATTCCTTAGCTAGCCAGCTAGTCAGTTAGCCAGCTAAGCTAGCTAAGCTAGCAATATGACTGTAGATACACTTAACTCTGGGCAACAGTCGCCAAGAGATACATATCTGTGTATCTGTTGGCTGCAAAATAAAAACAATTGTTTATTATTTACGAGAATGGCAGGAGGCGGTCGCCAGAGACCCATATCTCAATGTCCCCTTCTGCATATGGACAGCATTAATTTCGTGGGCCTGGTCAAGTCGTTTAGGTACGATGCACTGGGATTTGTTTGTATGGGGTTTTATGAGGTTAATAATGTATTAAAAGATTTAAAGAAATTAAAATTTCTATCAATAGAATGTTAGAAAGAAACTTTTATGATTATTATTCCCCTATAAAATGTTATAAAAACGCCATCTAAGTCTTAATTTTTACTAAGACTCCTGCAGAAATTCACTTTTTCCCTTAAAGGGAACATTAAAAAGATATCTATGATATATAAAACTTATCCTATATCCCATTTAGAATGCTATAAAACAAACCCCATATGCTTATTACCTAAAATCCCAAAAATCGTATACATTTCTTTCAGTGCCTTAGGAGATTGCAAAACTTAGCCAGGTGTTTTTGGCCACAATTGGTGGCCACAATTTGGCAGAAGGAAAGTGAAAGATCTTGGATAAGCTCTATATACTTTATTAGATCGCTGACAGATCAGCGGAACCTAATTAACCCCAGGAAATATTTCAGCTCTTAAATTGTTTTTTTTTTATTCTTATTTTTGATGAGAGAATTCATTCACGAATAAAAACATTTTAACCTTCATTTGCTAATCACTAATAAGGCTAATTGTCTGAATAAAAAAACTAATTTAGATTAACAGATGCTGCTAATTAGTAGCACACTTTTTCATAAATATATGTCCCATTTTTTGTTTTTAGTTTAGGTTTTTTAACATTTCCAAAAAACTAAGTTCAAAAGTTCATTTCAAGGTTCGCTGGTCAGGGAGTGAGCGGTGAACTCACCTTGACTAACCTTTGATTCACAAAATGCATTCCCAGTTCGTTCGCACCAGCTGATATATATATTTTCATTCGTATTTGGATTTATAATTATATAGACCTGATCAATTAGCAAACGACTGGCAATGCTGTAACCACAAATAAAAGGGAAACATTGTAAACTAAAAAAAAAAAAAGATATATAAAATCAAAGACCTTTTCCTAACTGGTTTGTATCAGAGTTTACTTCCGTGCCATCAAAAATTGATTTATTTATTAGCTATTCAAAATGTCTTATTTTGTTTTTTGACCAAACAGCCTTGACCATGCCCTAGAAGCTTAGATTTCGGTGTTAGCCACTCGCTGAATTAGCAATCCCACAGATCAATGCTAACTTCATCTGCTTTGGCTGCTCTGCATGTGCTGATTAGCGAATTTCCGCTAAATTATAACTACAAATATGAGATAGTGATGGGTAAGTTGATAGAAGCAGGATTACTCAAGAATATCTATAAGGTTAAGGGAATTTTTTGTATATTTATTTAGCTTAGTTTTTAAGCTTCTCATGGGTCTGCTTGCGAAATTTTACATACTTTTTATGTACTATTTTAGGATTTCTGTTAATAGAAATTGCTGGATAGGTAAAGAAATATTTTTTAAAAATTGTACTTTTCATTTAAAATGCTTCTTTTAAAACTTAATTGTGAGAATATATTTTATAGGTATTATTAGGTACACATTATAGTTTTATTAGATATATTTAAGATACTCGTACATATCATGGCTGTGATATCTATGGCAACTTAACTACTCTTTGTTATAATAACTACCCTATAAAGTTGGGTTTACTTTATAAATAACAAAATTTTAGTTATCAATCTCATTTATCACTTGAAATCGAAGCAGTGAAGAATATTTTCTTCCCAATTAAAGATCACTCAAATGAAGTTCATTTAAATACCCAAAAATACAATTAAAATCAAATCTTCTTCTAGAACCTTGATAAATTAAACCAGAAAACCCTCCTTGGCTTAAACTACTATACCCAATACCCACTTATCATCAAACTAGACTAGATTCGACTAACTTACAAGATCTACCTTGTCAGTGCTCTCACCTTGGTGACAATATCATCCTCTGGTTGTTCTGGTGGCGGTGCCATTGTTGCTCCTCCTCGGATTTCGGACTCTACAGAAAGTTAGTTAGTGGCAAACGATAATGATCTGTACTAACAGTCCATAGATTGTCATTTCTTCTGTGTGAAAAACTCGCGAACTCAAACAATAAAAAAAAAACAAAACAAAAATAATAATAATAGTACGATGATGATGTTGTTTCTAGGTTCGCGCTTGATCTAACATTTAAGTTGAATGCTAAGTGGCTTTTTAGTGAACCGACTCGTCTGGCAATCCGTTTGCAACTGACTGAGATCGACTCACACAATATCGATATGATGTAGCCAGGTGAGCCAAGTTACCAAGTCGTTTAGCCGAGAAACGCGCGCAAAACGCTACGCTTTTGGCCAAAAGAAAACTGGTTATACGTTCTGGGTTCTGGGTTCTGGGTTCTCTGGTCTCTAGTCTCTGATCTCTTCGGTTCTTCGGGTTTTCCCTCGCTAACAGAAGAATCAGAATCAGCGACTGCGAGCCGACCCACCTGTGATTGTGACGTCAGAACAGGTGAACTTGCCGCTTGAACTTTAAGTTGAAGGCCAAACTGAGTCAGCTGAGAAATGGCAAAAATGGAAAATGCAAAATGAAAATTCAATGGAAATTAAGTGCCACCATGCCATATGACTGATCCATTTAGTCAGCTTTTGGCATTGGCCATATAATAAAGTCGCAACATACGCACGCATATGCAAGCGACAAAAGTCGCCCTTGAAACGCTGACAAACCGCTCGAAATGCTTTTTCACTTTTTATGCATTTTTTTTTTATTCTCGCTGCACTTTGGCGAGCTTATTAGTTAGTTTGAATTGCAACGAGGAGACTTGTCGGTCTGGTTATGCTATAAAAAAAAAACGATTTTTTATAACGCCTATTAAAGTTAATGTATTAAAGAACCAATAAAAAAGTTCGACATGAGGGACTTTTCATTTGTGTTAGAACCAAAGGGTTAGTTAAAGATTTAATTTTTGAAGAACTTTGGAGAAGTGCTCAAAGTTAACCCTTTAGTAATAAGCAAATTCTATGTCTTGATTCGTCTAGTTAGAATCTTAGTAAAGATTAAGTTAAGAAACTGCTTTTAAAATCTATAAATTTGATATAAATTATGGTCATATTGCATAGATATTAAAAATTTAGGAATTGATTTATTGACTTTACTATTTTTTTTTTATTTATTTTTTACTGACTTAGCTCTATTTTGTACGCCGACTATTAATGCCTATAAATTAAACATTTTATTGACACTTTTAATTGGTTTATGGCTGAAATTAAATAGAATTTATTACTATTTTTTGAGGCTATTTCAAAATTTATATGTTTGTTAAAGTATTCATTATATACGATAGGATTTTACTCTGTCTTAAAATATAATTTTAATAATTTAAATAAGTCAATTTGAATTCCTTTTTGTATGACTTAGTTTAAGATAAGTTATTTTCAGGAATGGATGCCTAATTTCCCTCATAACCTTTAAAAATCTCTACAAAAAACTGCATTAAGTCTACAATCCGATTTGAAATATTTTCCAAGTTGACGGCTTTCAACTTGCAACCAGCTTTGCGTTGACAATTTACCGCAGCGCCTACACTTGAGAGTCTAGAGTCTTAGATTTCGCGACTTGAGTCTTGACGAGGTTTCCGATGTTTCTAGTGCACTCGCGTTTTAAGTTCATTGCAAACACGAATGGTGACCAAATTGGGAGGAGGAGTCGCATCGAGTTTAATACCCCAACTGACTAACTCGAACGGACCAGCTTGTCGGACCAGCATTCAGAGTCACAGTCATAGTCCAATAATTATCAAATGTAAGCTGAACGTAATTAAAAGCCCAATCGTTCCAAGGTTAGCCGGCTAAATAAAACAGACCAATAATAATCTCCGCTTGCCAGTCATATAAATAATGAATTTGTATCTTTGATTAAACTTTTTGGGCTCTAAGACAGCCAGTAAACAACCGTCGAAAGTGCTTAACTTAGATTTTATAAATAATAAATCTGAGGCTGTGGAAAACAGCGGGCAGACAGCCCCCTTCTCTATAAGGGAACTCCACTTTGATGACTGACAGGTTCAAGCCAACTGAGAATTATAATTGGTTAGCGCTTGACTTTGATGGCTTTAAAGCTGTAAATGAGTTGAAACTTTAAAGATGTGGTTTTTGGCGGAAGGATTAGAAAGGAAAAGCTGGAAAAACTTGATATGTAAATCTAGTTAAATTAGTATTGTAATCATATTCTATAAGATATTAAGTTAGTAAGGTAAGGTAAGTTATTCCAGTAACCCATTAAAAACGCATTCGCTTTCCACTTCCTTCCACATTTCGTTTACTTAGCAAAGGAATTAATCGACATTTAAATGATTACAGTATTAGAATTATGTACAAAACATAAGATAAGCGCTACACACACAGGATAGGGAGGAATAGGAATGGGAAGGGGCATAGGATCGGGTCAGAGCGGCAGGATAAGGAAGGTCCAAAATGCCATGCCAGAGAGTCTTTAATGCAAAGTATAAAAAAAATTCAATTACATCTAGGTTTTGAGCCACGCGAGGAGCTGCCGAAGCAGGAGGACTGAACTGGAGGAGTCGTGGTAACCGACTAACTGATTTCGTATTGATATGCATCGTCTGAGTCCTCGCCACTGGACAGATCTCGTTTGCGTCGTCGCTGCTCTCGCTTGCTAAGCTTTTTGGCGACTGGCGCTGCCTCCGGTTCTGGCGGCGCAACTGGCTCCTCCTCTGGAAGCTCCTCTTCAATCGCAGCCGAATCTTCCTCCGGCTCGTTAGCCTCCTCTTCGGCCCGCTTCTGCGTCTTGACCAGCTCGCAGAGATATTTGTAGCGCACCAGGCACTCCTCCTTGGTCTTCTCCGGCACACTGTTGGCAATCTTCTGCCAACGATCCCCGCCTGCCGTCTTACGGTACTTAACTATGGCCGCCTCAAGGGCGCGTTGCTGTTCCTGCGTCCAGTTGGTCTCTGGAATCAGCATACTTTTCTCCGCTGGAGCCGCTGCAGTTCCTGGCCCTGTCGCTGACTTCTTCACTTTCTCCTTACGCTGCGCCTGTTGGGATTCTTGGACAAGATTCTCGGCTACACTGTCCGTTTGACCGGGAATCCGATAACCATTCTCTTTCATCTTAGCCGCCATGAAGGTTACCTCCTGCACGCTGCGATTCATGGATTCAGCTATAGTGTTCCAGCGACTACCAGCTCCGCCTGGGTACTTCTTCACCAGGCGAATCAGTTCGGTGAGATCCTCGTCAGTCCAGAAGCCACCGCTCACAGTGCTCTGGAAAAAGATTTATAATTCGGTTAGTGAGAAGTTAGCAAGCCAAGAACATCGTTTACCTTCTGGGAAGCCGGACGAACAGCATCTTCATCGGTCAATTCTCGCGCCTGAATCTGCGAGTAGCCACGCAACTCCTCCTCGGTCTTTTCCGGCGCCTTGCTGTTCTGCTTGCGCTTGCGCAAGTTTTCCTTGTGCTCCTTGCGCAGACGTGCCTGCTCCTCGGCCTCTCGCTCCAGCTCCTCTTGGCGACGGGCAGCCTCCAGTTCTCTGTAGATTTAAAGATTATTCAATTAGATATATACTATATCAACGATTTTTAATCACATTTCTCACACGATTTCACCTGTTAGCCATTATACTCTAATCGAATTTGTTTACCTTATCTGAAGGCATATCAAAATACAAAGTTCTAGAGTTGAATTTGATTATCTTGCAACACAAAGACAGTATTCTCTTTCCTCAGACGTTATATAGTCATATTATTGTAGTCCACTTTTGATCAAATTATGCATGTCATAAGAACAATTGTTCTCTGTTTTTGGAGGGCAAAAATATTGTTTGCATGATGACTTATACTTTTCTCCTCTTGTTTCTCAATTCCATTTCTGTTATTTAAATTTCTGAGAATTTTGGAAACTCGTAAGGAATTTTAAATAACTGGGTTGGAATGCCACAAATTCTACTTTTATCATCGATGTGTAACCGCAATATATGCTCAAACAGAAAGTAATCTAAATATAATCTAATTTTTCATACAAAAAGCCTAAAAGAAACCGCAAAAACTGAATGATAAGAGTTTTCCCAATCTTCTGAAACTTAAAACGGATATGTGAAATACCATATAATACATAAAATCCGGCGTTTGCCTAATGAACATACTAAGAAATTACGACATGAAAACTTAACTCGTTGGCAACTATAAAATCCCTACAAAATATTGCAGTTCTTATCAAGAATGCAAAGCAATCTCTTTGTAAATAGGAATTTCACAAATATATATGTATAAGTTATAGGGAATATTAAATATGTTATCAGTTAACTAAGTTGGGCTGCAAAGCCTATCAGAAGATTCTCCTTTTTCTCCTCCTTTACAGTGAAAACTTGTAGGTTACCCCAAATTGTAACTAACTATACTATAATCAATCCAAACCCTAAGAATCTAGGAGTCCTATCAAACTTACTGCCTGCGTTTCTCCAATGCCAGTTCCTTAAGCTCGTTGGCCTTGCTAAATCCATTCTTAATCGTACGTGGAAGGTTCCACAATGCCAAAGGGATCTGAATGGGCAGGGTATTCAGAAGTGATGGCATCGGTATTTCGCTAAGAATAACGTCCATGTCAATGTTTTTGTTCTTCTTCTGCAGTTTCTTCAGCTTGGTGCCAAAGACCTGTTCGGCGGTGTACTTCTTCTCGAGGTAAGCGGCCCAGGCAAACAGATACTGTCCCACGGTGGTGATCAGGAAGAGGATGAAGGCGCCCTCATACAGGCCAATCTTCCTCATCCTACGGTAATAGTAGAGAGCTGACTTCCAGTTGGGCATGCCCTCCTTGAGCACTCTGTCGTATTTCTCACGCCGTGAAGGATCCTTGAGAACCTCGTAGATGGAGACGAGATTACGGAACTGAATGTTGGCATCCTCGGCTGGATTCTTATCTGGATGCAGGACAATGGACAGAGTGCGAAAGGCGCGCTTAACCTCAGCGCCCGTGGCCGTTTGATTGATGCCCATGAACTCATAGAAGTTTCGGTTCACCTCCTCGACCAAATCAAAGATTTCCAGCTCCTCAGAGTGCCAGGCGCTGGCACCAGAGACGCCCAGCAGGAGGCATGCCAACACACAGGCCACGTTTAGGTCTAGTCGCATCTTCATCATCATCGTCAGGATCGTGGTCCGAGATCCGGGTCAGGTTCAGTTTGGAGCAGAGTCGGAGTAAAATCCAAATTTAATGCGGCAGACCCACGCACGCACCACACAAACACACACGCACACAGTCACACGCACGCCAACACGGTCGTAGCTCAGCTGGCAAGTGGCAACGTCAGCAGCCGACCGCCTGCGTTGCCACTTAACAGCGCAAACAATCTTGATAAACACTAGATGTTTTTAGGTAGCTATATTTTTAGCTAGCTATATTTATAGCTGAAATTTGAAATTTTTAAATAATTAAATTACTTTAATTCAGTTAAGAATTTCCATTTCCTTAAAAATATGATGCGCTCAAGTTTATTGTTACATAAAATTGAGATCTTGGCTACGTTACCAAGTTCGAATCACACAGTTTGTCACTATAAACTAACTATTTATCTATATTAATAATTTAAAGTACTTTACTAGTATAAAAACCTAAAGAGTTTTCCTAAACCTCGTTACACTTGCTGTTAATTTCCTTAGAAGGACATTTATTATTTGTGTCCCCGAAATAGGTACGTTATTTCAAAACTCGTTAATAATCGAAACATATTATATCACTGGTGACATGCATCGATAAAATATCGATAGGCTTGCACATTACTTGTACAACTAAATGAAGATAGACGTCGCGACATTTCATTCTTATAAGAATAAGGAAACAAGCGACAATGAAGCTGCTCCATTTCCTGTGGCTGCTAAGCGGCCTGCTCCTGGTCACCGGCGAACAGAATCCCCCAGTTAACGCCTCCTCCAAGGACACCTCCGCGGTGCAGGCTAATGGGACAATTGTGCCGCTGACCAATGCCACTCAAGGATTGAAATCGGATTCGGGATCTACAGGTTCACCCGTACAGGTGAACGTTAAGGATGCGGCTGTGGTGCAACAGGACAAGAACACTAACAAGACGGCTACGGGTGAAAGTGCAGCCAAGACCAGAAAGCGCCCAGACACTGGCTTGCCTTTAACTCCAGTGGACACTTCTAAGCCGGCAGTAGATCAGAAGGTCACTAAGGGAAAAGAGGCAGCCAGTTCACCGACTAGCACCTCTACATCCACTACGACAGCTACCACTACCACTACGGCCAAGCCAGCTGCAGGATCAGCTATAGTCGCCGATGGGCAGACCATGAAGGACGTTACCAAGACCGGCAACAACGCCACTGCCACTTCTTCCTCTAGCACTAGCAGCACCACCACAACGTCTACGACCACAACCACTACCACCACCACCACCACTACTACCACTACTACAACTACGCCGAAGCCCAAGAAACCGCTGGTTGTTGTTAGCCCGGATGTGCACAAGGAATGGGAGAAGGATGCTGAGCTGCAGAAAAGTCAGGAGAAGACCGGTACTAAGGCAAATCCAGCCCAGCCACTGCCCACACCCTCAGAGCCTAAGATGCAGGGTCTGACCAGTAGCAATCTGGCTGATCGCGGGGATAATGGTTATGTGGTGCCCATTGTGACCGTGCTGCTGACCGTACCACTAGCCATCGGTGTGGTGACCATCATGTACCGTCGTTTCCGTGACATGTGGAGCACCAGGCACTACCGTCGCATGGACTTCCTAGTGGACGGCATGTACAACGACTGACGAAGGCGCGGACGACAGTCGGCCAGCAAGAGTAGTCACTTCTCCGGGTGCTCCTCCTCCTCCTCCGGCGCCCTCGGATGATGATTATTAGTTGTTTAAGTTGTACATCGACTGGTTGGTATGGCATTCAATGCAAGGCCACCAGAACGAAAAAAGAGTGGGAGGAAAGGATAAATGAGAAGTGGAGGAGGATGATTACCCAAAACTAGGATATTGCTCAGTCAATTAAAAGGAGAAAAGGACTCGAAGAGAGGGAACCGAACGAGCGGCCAAATTGAATTTAAACCAACTGATTTTCAACGCTAAATTCAAGCGGACTTTTTTACGTTTAAGCATTTGGATTTTATTGGAAAAAAGAAGATGAGCATTTGTTACCAATCAAATTGATACCAACACTTATATATATATATATGTATACCCTGTATATCCTATCTACTTAAGGAGGACTCTGGAACACCAGCTGCTGTTTATTGGAGGAGCTGCCACCTCAAACTCAACCATCGGCGCAATTAGCAATCACTCATTGAATCCACAATCTAGCCGTAATGTGCCTTACAAATCAGCTATATAGATATATATACATATATATCTTTACACATGATATTCTTCATTCTAAGAAGCTTACGAGATGAATTCTCCGCATTTACTTTACGCAACACAACACCACTCATTCACTCACTTTAAAAACAAAAAAGCAGCAGAAACCAAAAAAAAAAAAAATTCACAAGCAATCGGCCTGAAACAAGCAAATTTATAGCATTGCATTATATATATACCTATATATATATATATAAATATATTTCTTGTTATCAAAGTAACAATTACAATAAAGCGAAAGGCAGTCAACTTTAATTACTTGGAAGTTGTGGTTAATATATTATATATATATTTTTTTAAATAGCCTCGAGGGGTACCTATTCTTTCTTGAGAAAACGACTTTGCTGATTCAACATAAAGTGAAATTTATTGCAAGGCATGCAAATTACTATCAATTTCTTGGAAGATTCTTTGAGATAATTAAGTTGCATTCGACTTTGTTTTATTAATAGCTTGATTAGAAAAAAAAAACTCTTATAAACATATTCAAGCTCGTATTTAATAAATGATATCGCATTTATCAGAATTTATACTTTTCTTTTATATGAAATGCTATTTATACTTTTATTTATCAAATGGTGGTCCCAAGTACCAACTCTCTGTTATAATAATAAGTTTTCTAGCTATGTTTTTGGTTTAATTTAAGATCAATATCAACTTTTGATTTCTTTATTGATAAGTCAATAACACTTATAAGTCAGGTTAGCTTATAAACAAAAGATTAAGTTTTGATGACAAAAGGTGCAGGGCTCTTTCCTAGAAAGTACAAAATAAGTGGACTTTTCAACAGATATTTATTGTCAATCATATAAATATTTGCTCAAGCTGTAATTAAATCCAAGAAACACTTGAACACTTTGAAATCTTAACTAGGTAGTTCCCTATAAAACACGAAAAAAGTCCAACAATTTCTTCAAGAAACACTTAGTAAAATTCAAAAAATATAAGTATAAAATAAATACCTTAAAAAATGTTTGTAGAATATAAAATTACTCATTTAATGATTTATATAGGTAGTAAAAATCATAATTAATATAAAAGTATTCCCCAAACTTTAGCTTTTATCAAAACATTTTCAATCAAATCATTATTTTCCCCCCCAAAATATTTACAAAAACATTTTCAAAAATATAGAGTGGCACTTTGATTTATTAGGCGCTGCCTTGTGTATTCAAATTGCGTGTACTAAATCTTCTGGCTAACCCATTAATGTCTGTATTTATGCTTTATGTGCGGGAAGACACAATCCATTCCACATCCACTACTCCAAAACAGAAATCCCAATTCCCGTGGTGATTTGATGTGGAGAGCTCTAAATTGTTGTCCGTCTGGAGTTCTGACCTTTGGCGATAATAGATCACCAGCGCCTGCTCCACGAGTCTTGATTTAGACAAATGAGGAGTGGAGGTATCTCCCTGTTTATATATATAAGAACACCTACCCACCGTCATCCCATACTATACCATCCCGAGAAAACAGCTCTCTCAATGAAGTGGTTTATAAATGATCTCCATCTGCGAAGTTGTTCGTAGTTCGTTTCTAATAATTTAAACAAAAAGAACTAAATTATCAACAAAACGATCAGTTTTCTATGCCTGTGGTGTGCGTGTGTGTGTGCGTAAAGGGAAATTCGTTCGGAAAAGCGGGAAAATCGTTTCGGCCACGAGAATGTGTGAAATGAGCCGAACGATTGCCGCCGCTGCCGCTGTTTTCACCTCTGTCTAGGATACAGTTAATAATACCCATTAAACTAGGTTATTACGGGGTATGATGAAGGCATGAAATGCAAATTAAAAATGCGAAGAATATTTAATGAGATAATAATAACAATTTTGGATTTTAATTTGATTTTTCAGGCAAGATTTATCTCTAGTTAAATACTGAAAAGTTTTTGAAAATTTTATATTTCTTTCTTAACTAACTTTCTTTCTAACTTATTAACAAAAATTTATTAGTCTTGTGGTTATCCCAAGTTTTTGATTCTTATTTGCTGTTAATATAGGATATTCCCAAGTCGTAACATCCGAAAATATGTAAAATAGTTTGATATTTCCTGTCTTTGGCTCTGCGTTTGGCATTCTGGAATCTCGGCGTGCTCATTTGAAAACGTGCGCTGGACGCGTGCAGTTCCCGATCGATCAGTTTCCGTTGGACTAGCCGTGGATTTGAAATCGATCCGATACGTTTCGGTATCTCTCCTATCCTTGCAAACAAACGTGTCCTTTTCAAAATGCATCCTGCCTCGCCGCATCAGCATCGCGCTCGCCTGAACATCGGATCACCAGGATCAGCTGGAATACAGGCCTCCTCCTCGACGGAGACATTTCCATTGACTCCACAGCATCAGTCCTCGCAGCACACAGTTCACATACCGCCACCCACATCGCTACCTTATCAAGGACTCAAAACTTGTAAGTTTTGGGAAAAGGGAAACTAAAAGAAAAACTAAACTCTTACTTAAAACAGGATAAAGATCAAGTAAATTTTTTATAAATGCAATATAAAGAGTCTGAATTCTTTCTTTTAACTCCAAAATTTCTATAAATGAAAAGTTAAAAATAAGCTTAAAAAACAGCCTGTACGAACTTAAAAGGATTTCTCAGGGCATGGAAAGGAAAAAGCATTCTTAACAAATTTTTCAAACTTAAACAAATATTTCAATATTTCTCAAATGTTTAATTCTCAGGACAAAAACCATGCAAATTATACTTTTAAAGTTATAGACATTTTTAGAATTGTATTTTATATAAACAAAACCAAGTTTATTGGTAAACTTTTAAACTACAAAATCTACAAAATATTTGACTTATCTAATAGCAAAAATTACCATTTTCATAAAGTACACACCATTGAAAATTTAATTAATATTAATGTAACAAATATTAGCAATAATACCATACCCAATTATTGTCATAATTATATGATTATTGTTTGTTTTGGAAAAACTATGAAACTATTAGAATTTCTAAATGTTTTTGGCCTGATTAAAAATGTGGCAAGACTTCCTTGATTTCTGGACCGGATTTCCATATGCATATAACCAAATTATTCGCTTGGCGCTTTGTTTAGCTCATAAAAATACACGCACATTGACTGCCAGATACAAATAGTTTTTCCAATTTCTACCGCACACACATCATGACCTCACAAAACTCTAGTGTTTCCCCAACACCAACACCAGCAGCCGCAGCAGCCCCACCAAAAATAATAATTCATAAATCGAGCAAAATGTGAGATTAATGTGCGATATAAAATCATAATCAAGGCACGCTAGGTGAGGCTATTCAGAGTCCAATGAATCATTTCCATGGTAGATGAATGAATCTTCGATTCGAGGTTCGTTAATATCAAATATTATAGATCGTCAGGGGCATATTGAATCGTATCGATCCCGAACATATCCGACCACCTATGAAGTATGCAATATAAACTGTATGCCGACATATGAAAATAAATAGAGATTAGCCGAACGCAAAAGGCACATGGATACGGTACGTATACGTGATATAAATCGTATTGTCGAAACTTGTAAGATAAACAGAGCAGCGGAATACTCAACATCCCAGCCATGGACGTAAACATGGCCCAACTCTGGATATAAATACATATAGTACCACCTCCAGAGAGCACAAAAACAGAAAAAAAAAAAAATAAAAAACCCAAACACAGATCGAATTCATGAACACGAAGTCTTAGTCTCTGCTCTATATAATCCATAAACAAAAAATCTCCAGTTCATGTACATAGTTAGTGAAGCATAAAACAAGAAATCGGACCAAGAAATCCGTTCGTATGGATATTTATGGAATTTATGGCATTTGTACTAGATCAAAAGCAATTTGTACAAGTTAATTGCCCAAAGAAAAAACAACTTGCTGGCGCAATTGAAAACAATGTGATGGCGATCACCGAAAAACCACTTTTCCCCATAAATAAACAAACAGAAAACGGCATTTAGAAAGCATAATTAAGAAAGTAATTTAAAAATTTGATTAATTAGATCAGTCTATTGGTCAGTTTTATTTTGAAAAAACTAAACTAAACTTAATCTTAATCTTAAAGAAAATGGAAATAAAAAATCCTATTAAAGTAACAATCTCTCTTAAACTTTCCTCAGCTGAAAACGATGACATGGGCTGTGTGGAGATCCTGGCCACGGTTGTATCCGTGCTGATCATGGTGCTGACCTTTCCCATCTCGGTGTTCATCTGCTTCAAGGTGGTCTCCGAATACGAAAGGGCGGTGATCTTTCGAATGGGACGCCTGCGCAGTGGCGGTGCCCGTGGTCCCGGAGTCTTCTTTGTATTACCCTGCGTAGATGACTATTATCCGGTGGATCTGCGTACGGTTTCCTTTGATGTGCCACCGCAGGAGGTGTTGTCCAAGGATTCGGTAACGGTGACTGTAGATGCGGTGGTCTACTATCGCATCAGTGATCCGTTGAAGGCGGTCATTCAGGTGTATAACTACAGTCATTCGACGAGTCTCCTGGCAGCCACCACATTGCGCAATGTACTCGGCACAAGGAATCTCTCGGAGCTGCTGACCGAACGTGAGACCATTTCGCACACCATGCAAATGTCCCTGGACGAGGCCACTGATCCCTGGGGCGTTAAGGTGGAGCGTGTGGAGATGTAAGTAAGATTTTCTTCTGATTTCTGATCCATAATCCATGATCCCTTTGCAGCAAGGATGTCTCTTTGCCAACGGCCCTTCAGCGGGCAATGGCCGCCGAGGCAGAAGCGGCAAGGGAAGCACGGGCCAAGGTGATTGCCGCCGAGGGAGAAATGAAGTCTTCGAGAGCCTTGAGAGAGGCATCCGAGATTATCTCGGCCAGTCCATCGGCCCTGCAGGTGAGTCTTTTACTGGAAAAAGGATAATTGGAAGTTATTTCATGGATTTTTTTTAACTTTTCCCACTTAGTTACGTTACCTGCAAACTCTGAGCAGCATTTCCACCGAGAAGAACTCAACGATTATCTTTCCACTGCCCATGGAGCTGCTCACGCCCTTCCTCAACACCCAGGCTCACTCCCAGCAGCTGCAACTGCAGCACCAACAGCAACAGCAGCAGCAGCAACATCAGCAGCAGCATCAACATCCTCCGGCTCCTGCCACGCCACTTCATCGACACCAGCATCAACATCACCAGTGACGCTCAATGTCGGTGCTGCAGCCATATCTGGAGGCACTGCATCGCTGCGAGCTGCGACGTCAGCAGCAGGAGCAGCGTCAAAACGGAGCAGCAAACGGCGATGATGATGACGACATCGTGGGCTTCTTGCTGTAAGTGAAAATGGGGCGGCAGCAGCGGCAGATAAAGTAAACGGTCCGGGGAAATCCCCTGGAAAATGAATCACCAGTAAAATATGACAATCATTTAATTGTTTATTTTTTAAGGGGAGTTTTTTTTAAGAATTTAACTTGGCAATTTATCTAAATTATTAGTATATGCGTTTTATATAAAGTTGATCTACCAGTTTATTCCAAGTTTTTCTTTAACTTTTATTCTTGTAAAACACAAATTCATCTTAACATTAAGACGAGACGTTAATTTTAAAGTAACAAATATTAACTTACTGTTGTACATTAAGCTTAAAAACGAAGTAAATTTTAAAAAAATCAAAGTTAAAAAAACAATAAAAGAGCCGAAAGAAAAATTATAGACAAATAACTAAGTTTTGGCAAAAACTCTTAAATAAAATATCAAATATTATTATATTATTATATTATATATTACTAAATATTTTCTGAGTTTTCCCCCTTTCTGCTGTTTTTATTATATATTTTGAGCTTATCTAAATGGCACAAGCCACTCCGATTTGCATACCACATCAGCGAGTGTGGCAGATAAGCTCTGTGGCATTAATGTGACTTAAAACCAAGTCGACTGAGTCATCATCCAGTTGGATGAGCCGAACATTTTGACCCTCAACTAAGACAGCGTCTTTATACTCTCACTAGAGATTACAAATTGATTAAATGTTGGAAAAAAAAATAGTGCAGAGCAGTGATAAGAAAAAAGCTTTCATTGATCGATGAGCAGAATAATCTTCATATGGAGTCGTATGTTGAGGTCGCCAGCAGAGCAGAGTGATTCATGATGACGACTTGGTTGTCTTTGTGGGGGGTTATTGGTTACTCTCTGGATTAAATTACACTAAAATTATGATATAGTTAATATTTAAATTTAAAAAACACCATAATGGTTAATAATTAAATAAGATGTAAGTGGTAATGTTTCAGATTTTGGTAAGTTTGTGAACTAGATTGTTTTCTTTATCAAAGTTTAGATCCAAACCCATAATTTTATCCGAAAAGATAAAATTCGATTTAAACATCTTTTTAGATTCATTTTCTATTCTTTTCTCAATGTGCCCCCATAGCATATTTAAGCCGCTTGCAAGCTCAGTGTAGCGATAAAGCCAATGCGATATTTCGTATCTGAGAGAACGCTTCGCTCTTATCACGTGAGAATGCTTTTCGGTGTTTTTTTTTCTGTTTTGCGGCGACAGTTGCGAGTGCATAGCCGGCCGGAGAGGAACAGCCAAATCATGGAGCCGCATCAGGATTCGCCCGTATACGCCAACTACGAGGACATGCGAAACTCCGGTCCAACGAGCTCTATGAACTATACGGTCAACATGCGACCTGAGGAGGCAGCTAGGATTCCAGCTACCACTCAGCAATATAGAGGATTCAAGACATGTAAGTAGACCATGGAGTAAAGGGAATTAGTAGGATTATATCCTAACTTAGCTATGATATTTGGAGACATTCTATCTTTAAACAAGTTAAAAGAATTATTATTTTAAATAACGATTATTGGCCTTTATTTACTTTAATCAGTTCAGATCGGTGGGAGATATGGGTTACTAAACACATTTCTTGGAATCGCCTTTTTAGATTAGATTACGAAGTGAAATTGATCGCGTGGGAAGCTTTGATGGCTCTGGAGGCATTTTTATTAAAGCTTAGAATCAAGAATATTTTTGGCATTCAAAATCGTAAATCAATAACCCTGAACATGACCTTATCGCGCGATGTCGATCGGTAATCAACGACCCAAAAAATTATATTATAAATATGAAAGTAATATATGATAGGATTTTTGTTCTTTATCAAACTAGATAATTGCTTAGATTTGTTTTTAAACCGAGTAGCAATCTAGGTCTTATCATTAACACAGAAAATCCCTATTAATTCTAAGCACTTTCTAGTTTGTCGACTTTATTGAGGCATATCAAGCGATATAAATTGCAATTTTCATTGGATTGAATTTTTAATCGAAGGAATTTATATTGCATTCTAAGATAAGAAAATGATTGAGGTTTAATGGTTCCTTTTTAAATTCTAATTTGATAGAAGTTTAATTTCTTTGTTAGCTCTTTTTGTAAAGCTTTCTAGTAATTAGTTAACTAACTAACTCGATGCATACTAGCATTAAGACTTTAACTGTTGATAACTTTTCTCAAGTAGCTTGACAAGTGCTTTAGGAAATTGCGCGAGGAAAGTACTTGAAGAATCATGAGCTTCCAAATAGGAAATGTCTTTATCTATTTATATTCTAATTACAATAATAATAATTCGAAATGTCACAAAATATTCACCTACAGCTGAGAATGAGCCCAAGGGCTTCATGGAATGGGTTGTCACCTTCTTCTCCGTGCTGATCTTCATCATCACCTCGCCCATCGCCATCTTTATATGCTTCAAAGTGGTGGCGGAGTACGAGCGGGCGATCATCTTCCGGCTGGGCAGACTTAGTGGTGGAGCCCGTGGTCCTGGCATGTTCTTCATCTTGCCGTGCATCGATGAGTACCGTAAGGTGGATCTGCGTACGGTCACCTTCAATGTGCCGCAACAGGAGATGTTGACCAAGGATTCGGTAACGGTGACTGTGGATGCCGTGGTATACTATCGGATCAGTGATCCCCTATATGCAGTAGTGCAGGTCGAGGATTATAGTATGTCCACCCGCCTGCTGGCAGCCACCACACTACGGAACATAGTCGGCACTCGGAATCTCTCAGAGCTACTCACCGAACGTGAAATCCTCGCCCATACCATGCAGGCCACTTTGGATGAGGCCACCGAGCCCTGGGGTGTCATGGTGGAGCGCGTTGAGATGTAAGGATCTTTGGCGTGGAAGATCTTAATCCAATTTTCTAATTTGGAAATTTAATCCGCTTGCAGCAAGGACGTCTCCCTGCCCGTTTCCATGCAGCGTGCCATGGCCGCCGAGGCTGAGGCTGCCCGCGATGCTCGTGCCAAGGTGATTGCCGCCGAAGGTGAGAAGAAGTCCGCCACTGCCCTTAAGGAGGCTTCCGATGTCATCTCCTCCAGCCCTTCAGCTCTGCAGGTAAGTTTCCTTGTCCTTATATATCTTTAGATCACTGATAACTGTCTAAATCCCTTACCACAGCTTCGGTACTTGCAAACCCTAAGCAGCATTTCGGCAGAGAAGAACTCCACCATTATCTTCCCGCTGCCCATGGAGCTGTTGACTCCTTATCTGGCTAAATACGCCCATATGATGGGACCTCCACCGCAGCTGCCAGATAAGTCCGACAGCTCAGTACTAGAGGCCCAGGCCGCTTGGCCAAAGACAAACCTATGAGTTATTCAAAACGTATTACGCAAAGATATATTTACGATCTTTTATATATACATATAAATTTTTTTTTTTTTAATAAAATGTCATCCACAAGGAAAATAGTATTACAAAGGTATTAACTAGCTATTATGAGTTATATTTGGTTTTCCTATAAAGTTTAAAAAAGTGTTAAAGAAAATCTTTGGTTAGTTTAAAGAAAGCCATTTCAAAAATTTCCTTTAAACTCTATCAAAATGGTCATTGAATTTATAACAAATACACCTTTGTTTTATACTAAATTACCATTGCCAAATACTAACTAAACTTAGTAATATAAAAGTGGATCTTAGAATGTTATTAATTCTCTAAATATTACAAATAACAAACAGACACTTACAATTTCCCTTGGCATTTACAACAAATAAACGTTGGCCGGATCCACGGCTAGGGATTCCGTAGCTAATTGAGCCATTGTCTTTTGGAAGCCAGAATCTCCTGCTACGATAAGGATCCTTTCTCCGGGAACAGAAGAATTGATGTGGCTGGCTAGGCTAGAAGCATCCAATCGCGATACCTTAGCCGTCTCCTTGTAGCGGAGACTGCGCTGGAAATTAGGGCACTCCTGGTCGCAATGCCCCTCTTCCTGGCAAGCAGCAGTGTCACACTGGTGATGGGGCAGGTAAAGACAGCTCTTGTAGTTCCAAAAATGGGCGAACTCAAGCAACTCCTCGCGGAAGTAGACATGCTGGAGGTTACGAGCGCACACCAAATGCCACACTCGACTCATGTCTTCCTCGTTTTCCAGCACTTGACGAACCAGCGGCAAAGTGGGTGCAATGGCAACTCCCTGGGCAATAATATAGATGCATTTTTCCTTCTGGGGATCGTGCACGTAATTTCCGATTGGTCCCCGGAACTCAAGCAGATCGCCGGGCCGCACGTCAGCCAAGTGCCGGGACATGGGACCATCTGGCTGGAGTTTCACCAGAATCCGGAACTCTTTGGCCAGAAAGTCGCTCCAATAGGGTGAATAGGGACGCAACAGGGATCCCACACGCAGCATAACATGATGTCCGGGCGGAATGTCCAGAACAAAATCCTCTTTGTCAGGATTTTGCTCTTCTTCCTCGGCTACATGTACAAAGTGCAGGAGAAGCACTTGTTCATCGGAACCAGATTCCAGTGATTCCCGCCGCAACAGGCGGAATTTCGTGTAGCTGAGTATCACGTTGCGTTTGCCGGCCAGGAGGACGCGGTTGCTTGGCCGGGGCTTGTTGTCCAGGATGCAGTTGGTACAGCCATTGCCACAGCAATCGGAATCTTGCAGCAGTTCCTCTTCCACATGCAAATCCATAAAAGACAGTTAGAAAGCTTTAAAACGTTTTCTTTTAAAAAATGATTTTAATACCATGTTTCCAGGGTTTCCAAAGTTGCGAGAAAGAAAGAATACGTCTTAAAAAATTTACTATTAAGCTTTAAACTAACTTAATTTTTAATTTGATATAAAAACAATTTGTTTTTATTTACGCTTAACGGACTTATCGATAAGTTCCATGGTGTTGATAGTCGAAAATCTAGCTATTTGTATCTTAACATCTAGCTATGTAACGGAAAAACAATCGAGTTACAAATATATCGGTATCGAATCTCTGGACAGATATGTCAGTCAAAAAAGTGTGTAAATAAAACAAAGAAAGGGAATATAAATAAAGAAAGAAAATATCGGCATCAGGCGTAAAGTACTTACTGCCCCCCACCCCACCACAATACACACCCCCGTTCCCTACGGAGATCAGAGATCGAGCAGCGGACGCAGTGCGGCGACAGCCCAAACAAGCAACTAGTGTCGAGTTACCAAGTGTCCAGTGTCCAGCTCGCCATCTCCATATCTCTATGGTGTCGCCAGCAACATGAACCTGGAATCTCTGTTCCGCGACTTTAATCCCTGGTGAGCAACACCCGACTTCAGACGTCTGAAACGCTTTGGAGATCCAATCCTCTAATCAGTCATGTTCTCTTTCAGCAAATTCATTGTCCACTGCAGCCTGTTCACCTTTGTCACGCTTTTCGCCTTGCGTCTAGACAACTTCATAGGTGAGTACTGTTTGATGCAATCTTTGGAAGCCACATGATTTTATCCAGGGAATGGGGAAGATACTCCATTTCTTCCGTGACAGTTATGGTTTCATAAAGAAAAGAGATAAAAGTCTAATGAAGCTTCATTATCGCATATCCTTGTAAAACCAAAAGGATTTAACCTTGTTTGTTCGAATGCCTTCCCCGCAGATTGGCCCTACTGGGCGATTTTTACACCGCTATGGATATGGAAGTGCACCGCCATCCTTGGTGCAATCGTGGGCGCCATCGTGTGGTGCCGATATCCCCATTATCGCCTCGAGGGCGACGCCTACACACAGTTCAAGGCGATGCTTATCTCTTTGGCACTGCACCTGATCCTATTGATGTTCGAACTGTTGGCCTGCGATAAGCTAACGTCGGATCGCCACCTTTGGGTACTCGTCTTCATCCCGCTGATCTTTGGCTCGGTGGTTAGTGTGGGCGCCTGCGTGTGGGCCGTCAAGCACGATCGCTCCTTTGAACTGGAGCTTTTCCTGGCGGTCAATGCGCTTCAATTTGTCTCGTTGCCGCTAAAGCTGGATCGCTTTGTCTACTGGAACTGGGACGTAGTGTTTGTGCCTATGTGGATAGTTATTTGCCTGAGCTTGGTCAGTGTTTTGTACAACATTATCTTCTGCGGCATCATGATGCGTACGCCGGAGGTGTCCCTGCAGCAGAAGAAGGCGGCGTTAAACGCAGCAGTGGGCAACATTTGCACTGTGCTTCCACTGCTCTGTTTTCAGGTGAGTCATTATACAGACCTTTAGGAACAAAGAAAATTCTAACCAAACTATTTCCCTAGGTTGTCATTTGTGACAAGTTGGACGGTGAGCTAAAGTTCCCATACATTGTGGTCTTCTCGCCGCTACTGGTCTCCATACTTGCGCTCATTATCCTGAGTTTTACGGCAAAGGGCGGCAACATGTGGTGGTTTGGCATTCGCAAGTCCTTCAGTCAGTTCCTGTTATCCGCGATGCCGTTCCTGCAGGAGTACGGTAACATTAGCTATCACCCGGAAACGCACAGCAATGCCGCTCAGTCCATGCCACTGGATGCCACGTCCTCATCGACAAGCATGGCTGCTAGCGAACAGCTGCACGAATTTGGAAAGCATGACAAGAAGGGCAAGAAGGGGGCCAAGAATGATATCCTTAAACCAGTGGTGCCGTTCGTCAGCATCGATCTGCCGGACTAGATATATAGAGAGACAGACAGCAGTGCACAGGAAGAAGAGTAACAGCAACAATAAATAGCAAGAACCACGTAGATCTAAGGACAGCCTCTCAGCACGCGCACACCGAGATGCCGCACATCTATGTTCAGGTGTTTATATTAAGCATACCATACCCAAAAACATAAAAACACACACACACACACACATCGGCCCGTAGCTTTTAGACTCGTACTGAATTTTAATTGTAAGCCAAGTGCTAATACCGCCCACAACCCATGCCTCCTCCATCTACTTCCATCTTCCCTCGCATTCGCCTTCATATAATACCTACACATATATACTGGCCCTGACTTTACACTATATATATATATATTATTGTTCAAATTGTATACAAAACCCCAACCTAGACCCAATTCGGATCTCACCTTGACCACTAGTTTCTTTTACATTTTAAACAAACAAAAATCACAAAACCTTTGACTTTTGGCCTTATATATATGTGCTAGTATTATATGTTACATCCCTCACAGTCTGAGAAATATCTTATGTGTAATGCCCTATGATAAATTGTAAATAATTTACAAACTACATGAAAACAAGAAATATACTTAAGTGCTTCCAAAAACAAAATGCAAAAGGCAACTTTTTCTTGAAGTTTCGGCTTAAATTTAATGTCTTGTAAATAAAAATATATTTTGGAAGAAGTCGAAATTGTGCTTTTAGGATAAAAATTCTTGTGAGTTGTATTTATCTTTATTCAAATTAGGAAGCTACAAAGTTTACATATTTCATAGTTAATTTGTTTTTGGTTTTTAATTAATTCTCTTACGTTGTGTCGCCTAAAAAGTTATGCAAAGGTAAAAAGTTGCATTTTAAAAAGTGACCATCCCAGAGTTGCTGCTGTTTTTTTGTTTTAATTTTTTTTTTTTTGCCGGTTTAAAATAATTTGGAAATCAGCCAATGAGCGAATATATAAAGCGCATATGAATATATATATATATATCCACACTATGGAAGTATATATATCCTTAGGTTTGCGAAAGAGAGAGAGGCACATAATTGGAAAATCGGAACGGAGCGGGACAGAGCTATAGAGCTATAGTGAGACGAGCTAAACTCAGGTTGTGTGTTAAACATCAACAATAATTTAAATATATATATATATATTTGCTCGATCGCAAGGTGCAACTGGCAACTGGCAACTAAACTATTGCATAACATATCGCATGATCTGGAATACATAGGTTTAACTTTCAAGTGAGTATATCCATCCGTACATTAATCAAGTTTTGTGTGAGAATTAACAATTGTTTCATTGGTTTAGCTACAGTTTGTTGTTTGTTTTTCTTGGTGGAAATAGAGGATATTACTTAAAGCTCCGATCTCTCGCAAATACAATGCATAATCGTAATAATAATAATAATAATGGTAGTAATTATAATAATATTACTTATGGAATAAAAGCTTCCGCTTGACTCTGGTGTGTGAGTGTATAGTACAAAGTTAAATAAGTAATATCATTTTGAACTCTCTTCGATTTAAGCTAAATACTTTTCGTGGAGAAAAAAAAGAACTACTGCAAAATATATATGTATACATATATATATATATATCGACCCAAATCATTTGGTTTACAATTTCGGTTAGCTATGGTATTTGTTTTCACCCCGATCGCTCATCAAATACTTGCGATATTGCATTACCTAATTCTCAGTTTTTTTTTCTTTCAAATATTTTCATTTTGCTATTAAAGTTGGCTAAGAACAATTGGTTTTTATTTGCTACATTAATTTATTCTGACATCAGAAGTTTTAACCAACCAGATTCTCCGATCCTACGAACAGTGAGGGGAAAGGTACAGATTTTGTTTTGATCTAAGTAGGGTTTTTGGATCAAATTATAAATAGAGTTTCAAAAACTATTTGAATTAATATAGTTTCTCAGACTTTAATTCCTATGTGAGGAATCTTCTTGGTTCCGAATTTTCAAAAATTCTTATCTTTTTCATTAGTAACTTTTGTTACTAAACGAAATTGTTGGTTATTTTACATTTAAAAGTATAGAAATTGTTTAATAAATGTGTTCTTGCACTATGGAGATAAGTGGATATTACTTTCTAAATAAGAATATTATTTCCTACTTTTCTAGATACTTCCCATCACTGCTCTGATCAGATCTCTGATGTGATCTGTGATTTTTGTTCGTTGCCCGTGATAATGTCGCAGCTTAATGTCTATTGTCTGAATTCTGTTACAATCGTGTTAATTTTTGTTCTATTTATTTTAGTATTATTTGTTTCTTTTTTTTCTTTTTCGGGGTAGGGCCAATAGGGCCAGACCCAAATAGGCTATTTCCCGTTTGCTCGTTTTTGCATCTTGTATAAACGATATGTACTAAGTGGTAAGTAATACGACTTTCTATTTAATTTACTGTCTAACAAATGAAACGCTGGCCCTTTGCTGGCTCTTCTGGATTCGATTCGAAATTGACATGAGATCTGGCGAACTGCGATCCATTTTAGGCATAATATATAACTATTACCTTATTGTTGTTTGTTTGTTTTCTTGTTTGGTTGTTCTCTTTGGGTGCACTTAATCCTTAGTTAACTTATTTCATGTATTTAGAATGTGTACATAGAACGTTATGCCCTCTTATCTGGCAAAATTTCTTTACATACTTTGTTTTAGATTTAATAATTATATTAATTGTGGAACTATGGAACATTTCGCTTTCGTTTCGTTACGGTTTTCATTTCCTTATATTATGGATTGATTTTTGGATTTCTTAAGGGGTTTTCGGAATCAACAGATTAGTGTTTTTAAAGAGAGAAGAATCGAAGAAACTAGAAGAATTTTGTTGTTTGTGGTTTGATCGGTTTTGTATGGAAGCGCTTAGTTTTTAAAGTTGAAGAAGTTCGTTTAATTGTACGTTTCGTATGGGAATTACACACACTCTATACACACTGGGAGAGAAGTGGCATGCAGGTGGGATCCTTAGTCCAATCTCTAATCCACTTTCGGCCGGTTGCTCAAATACTGGGCGAGATTCTCGCGCGGTCCCTGAACGATCATCATGAACTGCGATGGGAAGTCCCAGATTATGGTGAAATGGAATAGCATGTTGGCAATGGCGATCAAATACTCGAAGAAAGCGAACCAACTGAAGGCTGTAAAAGATTGGTATGTAATAATTATCATATATTATATAATAAATCCTAAATTATGATGTTAGCTCACCCAAATCGTGACAGTAGAAACGGTGTTTGGCAAAGAACACCAGCAGTCCGACGGTGCTCAGGATGGAGATGGCGAAGAGAATCTTCTTCCACTTGATGGACAGCCTTTGCTGTTCGCTCAACGATTGTCCGGCATTGAGGATGCCGTTCAGCTTAATCGTGGCCAGCATATAGCACAGCGAACATATCATGAAAGTGATGAAGATCCGCTCATGAACAGCTATAAAATGTATAGCAAGGATATAGGATAAAGATATATCAAAAAGATACTTTAGATAACCTACGGTAGTTCTCGCGATTCGATATATAGGTGACGCCGCCCAAGGCCGCGATCTCAATGCAATTGAGCACCAGGATCAGCGTGATGAGCAGACTCGTCTGAGGCACCTGGGCGGGACTAATCCGACGCAGCTGCGAGCGGTAGTAGTTCTTATAGACGAAGGCGATGGGGATGCGTGGACCAATGTGGAGCGCAATACTGAACCGCCAGAAGTAGCGCTGCGGACTGACGCCGGTAATTGCACTTATCGAGGGTATTATGTTGTATACCTAGTTAAAGGACAAATTTATTCGTTATTAAAGTGATGTTCTCTAACTTATTATATATATTAAAATCTTCCCATAATTCTACTTCTGAAGAAGGTTTAAACGTAATGAATCCTCATCGATAAGTAAAATGAAAGAACATTCCTTTTAACTAGGCTTCAGCTAATTTATCATAATATAATCGTATTATATAATTAATGTATCATTTAAAAAACCAATTAAATTTATAAATCTTCTTTTTACAAGACTAATTTTAGAGTCCTATGCCATGTTAACTGACTGCAAGACATTAATCAAAATGACCGCTGTTAAAAGTGCTTTTTGTAAGTAAATCGTTTGGAAAAAAGTGGATTTGCGTGTCTACTATCTGGCACGGAGTCCCGCGGGTATGACAGTGATTTGTTAGCCACCGGATTAACTGGGATTGGAGCAGTTAGACGCTCCTTCTTGACCAGCTCCCCTCCCTGAGGACTTCAAATCCGTATAACCCCAAGAGCCCATTAACTTACGCGGCAATGTGTCTCGTGGACATCGTCGTACTGGAAGACGTAGGCGGTCACGAAGCACGTGAAGAGCGTCACCAGCGGCAGCAGGGCGGTAACCACGCAGAGCTCATGGAAGCTGGCAAGGTAGTGGATAGCCACCTGCTCCTCCTGCTTTGGCTCCCTTGTTGCCTCCTGCTTGGATCTAATCGTTGTGCTAATCTGTAAGTAGTTTTGGTTGTTAGAATGGAGTTAATATGGTGGAAGGTTAAGGGGTAAATTCATTGTATTTCGTTTTAGGAAGTTGAGAATAAGAATGTTTATATATTTGATACAAATTAATCAAGTAAAAAAGGAGTATAAATTATTTATAAAATTATGGCTTTGTGATTTAAAATATTTGAAAGTAATTAATCTTGTTAGGATTTGTAATGTGTAAACTTCCTTCCTTTCCTAATTTTCTCAATAATACAATGAATTTATCTCTTAAATGAAAATAATGAAAAATACCTGACTATAGTGTTTAGTTCTGTTTTCGATTTGGTTAATGGACAACAACGAAAAAGCGCTAAAAATAAAGGTAAAATAAGAAAAGAAGACGAGGTGTGAATAAATCAATAAACAAAAGACAAACAATGAGGCGGAGAGCAGGTGAAGGTGAAAACTATGCGATATGGCTGAATAATGGATGAGGTTCGCATCCCAAATTGGATGAGCCGGGAGTTATAAATAAACAAGTCCTTGAGCAAAATAGGGGATAGGATATGGATATGGTTTTAGCTAGCAGGAGATGGCCTTGTCACTCTCTCATGCTTAGGTCTTTCGCTCTCCCTCTCTTTTGGCCATGGTTAAAAGGATATAATGGCACTCTCTCTCTCTCTTAGTTGCCGCTCCGAAGAAGCAAAAGGATTAAGGGCCAAAAATAGATGAGCTTCGCCTGACTGACGTAACCATTATCAACTAAACAGCAGCTGGCCAAAATTAATTAGCACAAAATTAATGGGAAATTTGCCGCCGGGCGTCAGAAATGAAATTAAATACGAGGTGTGTTCAAAAAGTAAGGTGACTTTTCAAATTTCGCGGGCAACATATTTTCGATTATCGTTTTTTTTGTTTTGTTATATTGGTACACTCTTCCCTAACATCTGTACCAAGTTTCAATGGAACATCCTCTTTTGTTTGGTTGTGAGAGGCGTAAAGTTACAAGTTGTTTTGCGAGCTCGGCGATTTTTTGCTATCGAAAAATATGGATCAAAGGATTTGCATCAAATTTTGTGTAAAAAATAAAATTAAGTGCTCTGAAACACTTGAAATGTTGACAGTGGCATACGGTGAAACTGTTCTGAGTAAAAAAAATGTGTACAAGTGGTACAAACTCTTCCAAGATGGCCGGGAAGATGCCAATGACCAGCCTCGCTCTGGACGCCCAAGCACGTCAACAACTGATGAAAACGTTCAAGCAGTGACGAAAATTGTTTTGGAAAATCGTCGAATCACTATCAGAGAAGTTGCTGAAGATGTCGGTATATCGCTTGGCTCGTGCCATGAAATTTTTTCAAACGTTTTGGGTATGAGTCGTGTGTCAGCGAAGTTTGTTCCGAAATTGCTGAATTTTGACCAAAAGAACCGTCGCATGAGCATCGCTCAAGAGCTGTTGAATGACGTCAACGACGACCCAGATTTACTCAAAAGGGTCATAACTGGTGACGAATCATGGGTATATGGTTATGATATCGAAACCAAAGCCCAATCGTCCCAATGGAAGAGCCCAGACGAGCCAAGACCGAAAAAAGCAAAAAATCGCCGAGCTCGCAAAATAACTTGTAACTTTACGCCTCTCACAACCAAACAAAAGAGGATGTTCCATTGAAACTTGGTACAGATGTTAGGGAAGAGTGTACCAATATAACAAAACAAAAAAAACGATAATCGAAAATATGTTGCCCGCGAAATTTGAAAAGTCACCTTACTTTTTGAACACACCTCGTATGTGGCTGTGATTGAATCCAGGACACCGGAAGCAAGTAAACTTTCCCAAGAAACTGGGACAGCCGTGGTTGTCGGATTGGGGATTGGGGATTGGGTAGGGTGGGTGATTCCACAAGGACATGGCGAAATCGAAATAAATGATTAAAACAGAAAAAACAAAAACTAAACAAACAAACAAGCACCACAAAGTAAATACACGCGTTTCGAAAATTAGGCAAGCCACACGGAAAATAAATTAATGTACTAAAAGAAACCTGTAACGTTGGCAAGGCTGGACAGTAAATATTTTCCAAAATCAAAATATATATATTTCTTTCCAAAAATACCAGAACTTATCTGGAACCACAGAACACATTCTAATCGAATTTGGTTAAGTTTTAGCTATCTTTCCTAATCCTGATTCTTTAAGTAGCTTTACTTTTCTTTAACAGTAAGGAAACCTAATTTATTAACTCAAAACAACAATTTTCTGAATTTTATAAAACTATCTAAGAATTTTTTTTAAAAATTTCCAAAATATCTAATCTTAAAAAATTGTGATTAATGGCGAAAAGATATTAAATTGCTTATGTATTAAGAAAGAAGAGAATATGAAGAAAATTTTGAAAACTCTTCAGAGCTACTATTATTTTAATATACAATTAAATATTAAATATTTCCTATTAAATATCAGATTTCGTAAAAACAATATATTTAAACTATTCTTGTCCTTTTTAAAACATAAAAGCTCTTTAAAAATTTTGAAAATTGTAAGCTTGGTAATGATCCTGAGTTTGTTTTGACTTTTCCGGAAAATCTGGATCAATTTGGAAAATATTTTCGGTGTGAAAAAGCTGAGGGGTAGAAGCAGGGGGTGGCATGCGCGGTGGCTGCGGAAAATTACAACAAACGAGCCGAGGAGCATGGAAAATAAAACGGGCACAGACACACACACTTTAACACACAGGCGCACACACAAACACCCCCGCACAATTTTTATGCGAGTTCACGACGATTGTGCACTGGCGGGAGGGGTGGGTGTTGGTGAAATGGGTTCTAGAGGAGGAGGAGGGGGTGAACGAGGAGGACGATGGGTGGGGAGGTCACTAAGCGTGCGCTGCCTCCGCTTAAAGTTATATAATTTTTGGCCACGGCCAAACAAACCATAAATACACACACTATCTCACAGAACACAATAAAAAAAATATTAAAAAAAAAAATTAGAGGAAAACTCCATAGGAAAAACACGAAAACGCCTCTCACCGCTGCTGGGTCGCCGGATCCGGCAGAGCAGCTGTTCCCGCCGCCTCCGTCGCCGTCGCCACCGGACCTGGACATCAGGTCCGTCGCCCCCTTTCCGCTATCTACCGCCGATGACGATGACGCCGCTCCTTTGCTCTGCTGCATTTTCTGATCGCTGGTCGGCGCTGACGTTGGCGTTGGCGTTGCTGCTACTGCTCGTGCTACCGTCGATGATGCTATTTGGCATAATTTGGATGCCCCAACGCTGCCGTCGACGAGTTGTGACCGCGCGCACTCCTCTCTCGCAACTGCACTGCAGCTCCTTCATGGCTCATTTTCCCTTTCTTTTCAGCTTTCCTGCTCTGGATGGTCCCACTGGCCAGGTCAATGGCAGGGTCACACTCGCGATAATACCGTTAGTTTGCTTTCGTGCTCAACCCCATTTGGAAGGGTCACACTTGGTTCTAAGTATTCATAGCGGGTATCTATTTGAAATTCAGATACAATGATACTTATGACTTATAGAAGCATGCCAAATATTTGTTCTTGTTTAATATATTTCTTCATAGTTTATTCTGCAAAAATAAATTACATTACATTATGTATCTTATATAAGTTTCCCTACATCCAAAGGTTTTCAAAAATTCTTTATAAAAACAATATTAACCAAAATTACAATTTAAATATACTTTACCAAAATTTTCAAAAAAATTATAAATTTCGTTTTCTATCGTTAATAGGAATAACGCTAACTATTCTTATGTTATGATAAGTTGTTATTATTAAACAAAGAATAGGCATAAGTACAAATACTCCATTTACGTTTTCACAAAAATTGTATGCTGATTTAGGCAATTATGGAATTGTGTGAAATTGTATATGAATATTTCTAGCTGAATATAAATATAATAAAATAATGAATGATTAAAAACTAATTTGAAAATGTACATACTTTTCCAAGAGCAGAATTGTATACGCGAATGATACAACCTTCTTCAAATTGCTTTTATTTGAGAGCGCTTTATTGAAAAACTAGTTTCTCTGTGTTACATTCAGATGTCAACTTTCATGGAACATCTGATTTCAAAAGGTGTTTACATTAAATAGTAGGATGGTTGATGTATGAAGTGTAAAATGAGTTTACTCTAACTCGGTTCTATCTGGACTCAACTGAATAAATCAGATCAGATTCAATTGATTAAGATTGCGAGTTGAGAGTTCTTTCTTGGAAAGTTATTGAAAAACTAGGGTTTCTGTGTTACTTTCAGATGGTCTGATTCTGAAATATGTTTACAATTAGTAGTAGGATGGTTATTTAATTTATGTAAACAATCGCCCGTGTCTTTTGTGTTTGAAGTGTAAAATGAGATGAGTATATGCGCAATAATGCTTTAGCTTGGCTCAATCTGGACTCAATCGAATAAATTCAATAGATTCTATTGATCTAGATTAACCGATGGCTAAGCACTTCTTGTGAATTCCTGCTTGGAAAGTTGAGTTAGATTTCTAATTAATAAATTAACTTGATTCTTTCTGCTGTGCTAAACTAGACTTAGTTGCTGCATAGAAGATAATCTAGTTGATCGCCTACAGCCACATCTCTCCGTCGACTATCTCCAGCACCATCTTTCGGCGGAAATACTCCATTTCCGACTGCGAAAAGGTTATGGGTACATCTCGAGAAATATATTCCGCAAACATGCAGCTGAAGACGCCGCAATCGCTTCCATTTAATTGTTGGGGAACGTTTTCTACGTTCTCAATCACGAAGTCGCTGGTATCAAATGGCTGCTTGCGCTTATCTAATGACTCCTCTCGCAAATAAGCTGCCAAAGCGTCCAACACTGGTTGATTCGGCTTTCCCATAGAATCGTAATAGCGGATGGCCTTATCCCGCATATGAATAATGGCCATGCACCAGTGAACACCGTTGCAGTGGACTGGCACTGGGATAATGTCCTTGCTAAACAAGTCAACTTTCCGTGTCCAGCGCTTAACGCCGCCATGTCCAGCTTGTAAGAGGCGTGGCACAAAGAATGTGTTCATGGCATATGTTGCGGGCAATTCGCCAGCCCGTTTCTCCGAACGCTCGGTCAATAAGGACATATAGAAATTTATAACCTCATCGTTTAGCCATTCGCCATCAATGAATGTGCGTATATCGAGGCGGCGAATATGCAGGTTGAACTTGACAACAAGTACCTTAAATAATAATTAAAAATAAGATTCTCATTGATGAGGAATAAATATATGTATATATAGCTTACCGCCGAACGATCGCCCTGCATTAAATCGTAATAGCGCTTTACTTGCTCCTTGGATAATGGGACGAGCGTCGTTTCTTTCTTTTTAATCGCGCTGTCTAGTGGCCCAATGATAAAGATGGGCTTGTGGGGGAAACCGTAAGTGATTCTTTTTTCCCGCAGTTTTTCTTCAAATGCTCGACGATATTCTGTGACGCGTTGAGCTCTGCAATTTATCAAAACATTTTAATACTGGAAACTAATGAAGAAGGCCTTGTACTTACTCCTCAGCTGCTAATTTACGACGATGTTCAGTTTCCAATTGCATTTTTGCCACTCGCGCTTTATATTGTTCCGCAAAGTCATCCTTAAGGTAGACACAACTGGCAAAACGACGCTGCAAGGAATCGGTCATGGTTGGCTGGGCGCTGTGCGTATTTGATGTGGCACCACTAAGATGGTGATATTTTATTTAATTTTCGGTTCTGTACTATCATTAACTAAAGCAACTTACGTGTGGTTGGACATTTTCATATTTTTATCTTCATTGCTATCATCGGTGGCAACAACCATCACTGAGGAATCAGAGTCATTTGACGAGCTTTCGCTCTCTGCGCTTCCCTCGCTGCTGGTAAGGGTAGAAGCATGACTGGCGGCGACACTGTTAACAAAACTATCGCAACGTATAAGCTGCGGTGGTACCGGTGGCCTGTTCTCCTGACTCGACTCGCGATCTATCAATTTGGCGTATTCTGATAGCTCATGGTTCACGCGGAAGCTCTCGCGCCTTGTCGTCGAAGGCGACTGTTGCTGCTGCTGCTGCTGTTGCCGCTGCAATGGAAGAGATTGGTTGCCTCGCAATATTGAACTCCACGATGGCGTCTGGGCATCTATGCGTTGCAAGGGCGGAGCACTTGGCTTAATGAAACGTCCTCCCGTACTACTATTGTGTGCTACGGTTTGAATGAGGGTAAGATATTGCTGATGCTCCATCCGTTCCATTTCGTGGGTCAGTATACTTCTCTCCATTTGAGTTGGTGCCCTACGTCCCGTGTGGCTACCAGAATGTCCATTTATATGGTTTATATGCGACTCTGCAAAGCCATTTTGACCGAGACGAACGGCATCAGAGTACAGCATCTGCGGAGTTCTGGACGATGTAACGGCGCTGGCAAATGTCTGAGTCGGCGGCTCCTCATCGTCTGAGACGTCGAAGGGATTGGGTACGTAAGGGGCGTCATTGCGCACCCTATGCTGGGTATATACCGGCGGATTAAATATTGAGAGACGCCTCGAGCTCTGTTGCTGATTTTCTCGCTCACGATCTGCAGCCATCGACTCATTCGTTATAAAGCGAGGAAAAGAGTTGTCCACGCGGCGGTATTTGATCAAACGAGGATTCTCCTCCTGGGTACTGCAAGAACATAAAATCATTAAAACATAACTTTGAAGTATGTCGTCAGCATTACTATATACTATACAACTTACCGCCTTTTCCGAGGTAAATTACTTGCTTCCGATTGATGATCGCTAGCACGACCTGATCCGTTTTGATTTTCAGATGCCAAGCCCGCCGACTCGGTATCAGACTCACTATCTTTGGGTGTATACCAACCGGTAACTAGCTTACGCAGTTTTCTCAACAATTCCAAGCCCATTGAAATGTTGTTCTGCAAATCGTTTTCTTGCTCGGAGGCACTCTCCTGCTCTAAGCGTCCAATAACAAACTGAAGTGATTGATCGATGTCCTCGATGCCAACGAAGATCTCCTTGAGCAGATCGAAACCTTGTTTGGTGGCCTTGCCGCGAATAGCTTCGTCCAAAAGAATGTGGCACAATTCGGCCAGCCTCTCGCGCAAGAGAACAACACTTAAGCGTTGGTGCTGGGCGTCCGGATGATTTGGTTCGGCGATCAAAAGATCGCAGCCGTTACGGATGGTCTTAAATGTTTTACGCACAATTTCAGTGTGAATATGCTTTGGTTCTATCAGCACACTTCGTATCTGTTGCTGTAGCCCATGATTCGGTGATGTTCGTTGTAAGAATTTATCAAAGTTGTCGAATATTTTCTCTCGATCTCGTTTTTCTGCGATAGGCTCCTCCTGACTCCCTTTAGCTGGCCCTATGTGATTAGCCAATTCTCCTCCGTACGGTACCTCCACCGTGGACTGGTAGTCCCGGACCTCTGGAAAAGGCGAGAGGCACTGGTCTTTTGGTAAATCGGACTCGTGGCTCGGTGAGTATGGCTGGTAGACCTGGATATCAGAGAAAGACGAGTAGGGTTGGCTACCCGGTGAGTAGGACTGACGTCTTAAAATCTCGGACTGGTAGTCCTGGGTCTTATGTTCAGACAGGCCGTGGTTATGAGCCAATTCTTCTCCGTACTGCACTTCCACCTCGGACTGGTATTCCTGGACCTCAAGAGAAGGCGAGTAGGACTTGCGTTTTGGTAAGTCGGCTTGGTGGCTTGGTGAGTTTGCCTGGTAGTCCTCGATATCCGAGGAAGGCGAATAGGGCTGGCCACCCGGTGAGTAGGACCGACGTCTTAGAATCTCGGAGTGGTAGCCCTGGATCTTATGTTCAGATAGGCCGTGGTTATAAGTCAATTCTTCCACGTACTGCACTTCCAACTCGGACTTATAGTCCTCGACCTCACGAGAAGGCGAGCAGGACTTGCTTTCTGGCAAGTCGGATTGATGGCTTGCCTGGTAGCCCTGGATATCGGAGGAAGGCGAGTAGGGGTGGCTACCTGGTGAGTAGGACTGAGTTCTTAAAATCTCGGACTGGTAGTCCTGGATATTAGGTTCAGATATTCCTTCGTTATTAGCTAACTGTCTGTCGTAGGGCACTCTCACTTCAGAATGGTATTCCTGGACCGCACGAGAAGGCGAGTAGGAATCCCCTATTGATAAGTCGGATTGGTGACTTGGTGAGTATGTATGATTGTCCTGGATATTAGAAAAAGGTGAGGACTGCCTACCCGGTGAGTAGGCCTGATGTACCGGTTGCTCGGACAGGTAGTCCTGGATCTTAGGTACAGGCGATGAGGCCTGAAGTAACGGTGCTACGATCTGGATTTCCGGAATCTCAGAATGAAATGAATAGAGCTGAAGTTCCTCGGTTGGTTCCTGCTGATAGTACTGAATCTCTTGTGTAAGCTGACGATCTTCGTATGGGATATTTGATGTCAGATAGTTATTTTGTTCCTGGATTTCCTGATTCTCCAGCTGCAAATCAGAAGCAAGCTGATGGTTTTGGAACTCAATCAGTTCGTATTGCTCATGAGCCTGATCTTTTTGCAGCCAGGAATTCGCTACGTAATAGTAGTTTTCCAGAGTAGCTTGTGCGTGCTGGATTCCCTCCAGATCGGCTTCAGATAAAATTTGATTGTTTGCCACCTGGATTGGCGTTATATACTCCGACGCATAAGTTATTATTGAATGAAAGTTGTACTGCAATGGGGCAAGGCCAACTACAACTTCCTGGCCGGAGGTATCCGCCTGAAAGTTGGGAGCAAATAGAGGTCCGTCAGAATTGCCTGGAGAAGCAGGACGAAAATGTGGTCTCTGTGGCGAATTCCTCAAATCCGATGAGTTGTGCAGTTCCTCCAAATGATGGAATGGCGATGGAGTGTAATACTGATCAGAAATATCAGCGTTTCTATGCCACAAAGGCAAGTATTGTTGAGCCGGTATCAAATATCGGCGCTGTGGAGTTGGGCCGTAAAAATTGTTGACAACGGTGTAAGGTGGTTCTGTAAACGAAAATCGTGGACTCTCTGGCAAAGACGATTGTGCTTCAGTTGTGGACGATATATCCGATAGTCTCGTCTTTACTCGTGATCCAATAATGCAGTGGCTTTGACTACAGTACGATGTCGGGTGTTGCGAATCATCATAAAAAGATGTCCCAATATCCGGCAAATCTTGCTGGTCTACTGGCGAAGGCCAGTCTGATGCTGGCGACCCATTGATTCCGTCTCTGTAATCGGATGCAGATGTTGTGGACAATTCGGCGTCCTCAGGATTCCGCGACATACGTGTGTTCGCTTTCCGCTTCCGCAGCTCTTAGCTGAAATGACAGGGAATTATCAAGGATTGTCAATGCATTTGATTTAGCCGGAAAAAAAATCGAGACGACCCGGTAAAACGCAGCCGCGATTTTGCGCATTTCTTGGCAACTTTTTTTTTGCCGCTTTTATAGCCGCCGAAAAATGCCGCCGCTTTAGTATCTCACTTATAGCTCTCATGGGCCAGTAAACAATTACCTTTTCGCCAGCTGGTAAATAATTTCCGCTTCGAAGTGCCAGCTTAAGTAGAATTTCCGACGCAGAGTAAGAAAATTGTGAAAAGAAAGAACTTTTCAGTTTTTGACGTGCTAATTTTAGAGTGACCGCACCAGCGATTACTCTTAAATGGCGAACATTTAAGTTATCGATAGCGGATAGTAAGAATCTGTTGCATAGCATTTGGCTTTTGACAGGCAGCTAGTTAATTTTTTAAGTGTTCAGTTCTTTCCCCATAACTTCAAAAATAAATGGCGATTGTTTTTAATAATTTAAAAAAAAACGAATTTCACCCATATATACTTACATGTGAAGTAATGTCTGTAATGTCAGTAAATACTGACTTTTGATTCTTCTTCTGCTTCACCGGCCGGCGAATCTATAATGACTTGAAAATATTTAATTAATTATTGAGAGAGAAAAAAGGGACTTTAGATTATACATATATTCTTGTGTGGGTAATTTAATAGTTAATATGTATTATGTTTGTTCAAGGAACACCTTAAAAAAAATTAAACTACTACTTTTTCAGCGCACTTACGTTTTCGGGTGTTTATAAGGTTTATGAAAGACGTATTAAAACAATCTAAATTGATCTTTTTATTATTTGCCGTAATCTCTTTTTTTTCACGCAGTGATGTTAACTTTAATTTTTTGTATTATAAAAAAAAGGGACGTCCACTCCGCACAAAATCCAAAAGTCATACTGCCATTTCTCAAATGGGAAAACTTAACCTGCTCAAAAGATTCCTTTTTTAAGGTTAGGTTGAATAATTTCTATGTAAGTAGTATTTGTATTTGTGTGAGGTGTTTTATTAAAGAAATTTGGTGTTTTTAAATTTTCTTAAGCACTTACGATTTTAGGAGCTTCAATATCCCGTTTATATTATTTTTCTTATTAAAAAAATAAATGCAAATGAGAATAGTCGAACGTTCCGTAGGAAAAGTAAAATTAAACAACGAACGCCTTTAAGAGTAGAGAAGTTGGTGTTCTTAGAATGATTTTTTTTCCAGGAATTGTCTGAACTTACGGTTTTTTTTGCTTAAGGGTTTATAAAACGACTAATATTAAAATAAAATGGAATTGTTAAAAAATATACGACACAATAGTAGAAAAAAGTGAACCCTTTTATTAAGTGCAGGAATTTCTCTTTTCCCGCATTGATATAAGCTTAAATTTTTTTTATATAAAAGAAGGAACGTCCACTCCGCATAAAATCAAAAGTCATACTGCGATTTTTTAACTGAGAAAACGAGGCCTACTCAGAAGTTTTTGTTTATAAGGTTATGTTGAAGAATTTGTATATGTATATGTATAGTATATACGTATGGATATGTACATATTTTTGTGAAATGTTTTGTTAAAGGAATTTGCTGATTTTTAAGCACTTACGATTTTAGAAGCTTCAATATGCCGCTATTATTATTTTTTTATAAAAAGAAATGTATGTATATTCAAATGAGAATAAACGAGCACTCCGCAGGAAAAGTAAAATTATACAACGAACGCCTTTAAGAGTAGAGAAGAATTTGTAATTGGTTGAATCTTTTCAAGGAATTGTCAGAACATTATGTTTTTCCCACGCTCTTAAGCATGTTCGTAAAATAACTGCGTAAGAAAAAAAATCTGTAGCGGCGATTTTCGCGGGCGAAAACTGAGCTTCACGTGCACTTATTTTCTTTAACAATCGCAGAAATTTTACGTTTTTTTAGTGCACGAGCTGATTTTCACTTTTAATGTTGTTAATACCAAGGTATGTATAAACGTTTAGTCCGTACCAAATCGAAAATTATACTGAGCCAATGTTGCTGACATTCCTCACAACGAAAGCTTGGCTACGAAGATTCCTTTTAAAGGTTAGTTCGATCACTTCTTAAAAATTAATCGATATGTTATATATATATATATATTATATATATATAAGATATAAAATCTTTATTTATTAATATCACTGCACAAATACAAGAACGACGCCAGAAACAGCAACAAAACACAGATACCGACACAAACTGGGATCCCTTGGTGCCCAAGACCCCGTGATTTCTTCAGATCCTTCAGCTCTTCAGTCCCTGCCCTGGCAGCAAAAGAATAGGAAGTTCCAGAGCAGCGTGGTTGCTCCGTATAGCGCACCAGCAAGGCCAACGGTGGCCTGGAACGAGTACCGCTCAACCACCCAATGTGCTAATGCACCCCACAGGAGCACTAAGAGGCCGTTGGTAAAGTGTACTGGTCGCCGGATTGAAGTCCAATTGGCCCGCGTCATGCCCATCTGGAAGACTAGTTCTTGTAGAAAGGCAGTGACTACTTGGCCAAAGCCCAGCAGCACCGCAGACACACTCAACAGCAACTTGGACGTGGAGAAGCTAATGACTGTGGGTAGGAAAAGAAAAAGGAGATGTAATTGATCTAGTGGGCGGGCTTTTTGGAGAATTAACACTTACAGATCAGCGCCAGGCATTTACAGATGCTGCCCAGCGTATGCCACTGGATCTTGCGCTTGTAAAGACTCGTCCCGAAACGTGGCGTCATCAGGGAGAAGCACATCCAGGGAAAAGCGAGCAGGGAGAAAAGGAACGGGATTTCGGCATTTTTCAGTGCATGATGGCTAACTGCCAAGCCCGGTAGCACCGTCAGGCACATCACATAGCTGAAGATGTCTGCCGAGAGGAGCAGCGTGGTGGCATAAAGCTGCGGCACCAACAGCGCCTGCTGCAGCGGCATGGCGATCTTGTCCAGCAGATTCCGCCAAAGATGCGAGGTCACCGCCCGCGACATTCGGCGAATTCGGCGCTACAAGAGTTGGAGAAGAAATGGGTTTAAATCAGATATTCTATCATCATAACATGGCATTAATATTGTATTTTTTAGATTTGAGAAATTCAAAGAAGTACTTACCAGATTGGCGTAGTCGGGTGGCAGGGGCGAGGAGCTGCCAGTTCCTGATCCACTGGTCAAGGGAATCTGTGGCGATAATGGATAGAGGCGTCCATTTGAAAGGGATTTGTGCGATGTCTGCGAGGCGGACATGGCGTAATTGTCGATGGTGGCATTGCTAGATCGCATCATGGACACCGTTTCATCCTCCTCGGGTATGATCTCCATGATCTCCACCCCGTTGGGATTCACATACGTAACATATGCCTCATCAGTGGCGAGCATGTAATTGCTGTGCGTGTCCACCACGGCGGCAGCAACGGCTGCATTTGGTGTGGCCATTTCGGTAGTGGCCGGATTCCGCCAGGAGAGCGTGTCCAATCCATCCAGTTGATCAGCCACCAAATTGGCCGCCAATGCAGCACGCAGCGGAAGTGCAGCAAATCCTGTTTCCGCCTTAATCACCGATATCCGTTTCGTGGTGAAGGCATCCTCACGATGCTTGGTGATGATAAGGCTGAGCGGGATTAGGTTCACTAGCAGGGCGGACATCAGCACAATCGACTGAGCGGTGCCGTAGAGAGTTCGAAGGCTGGTGAAAACGAATGAAAGAAACAGCTGACAGAAGGCCTCGCCGCAGAGATGGATCGTCTTCCGAACGTACTTGTCCTCCCGCGGGCGCACTGCCTCCAGTATTACATGCGTCTTCCACAAGTACAAACTCGAGCCGATGGCTGAGATAAGGGAGACGTAAGTTTTATATTAATTATTGGTTTTTTGAAGATGATAAGATGAAGATGAAAACTAGACATCTGTTGCAAATTAATATCTCTCATATAGTGCTTTTACCGAATATATAAAATAAATTTATAGATAAACATTTTCTACATTTTTTTAAACACAACTGTACAGACTATAAGACTATATCTTCCCGCCCTTTTTATTTACAGATTAAAGTTTACCTGCAAAGCATCCATAGAAGACAATGGCGACCACCTGCGTCGTCGTAGTAACCACAATCCAGGCTGAGGAAAAGAGTATACCACTGATCATCAATGAAACGCAGGCGATGAGCGTGGCCAGAAGAAATACCCTTCTGTACTGCGTCGTCTCCCTCGATCTGCCACTGTATTCTGTGTCCAGATGCTCCATTATCGAGCGACATAGTTCTCCGGTTGCCTGGTAGACAATGGCTGGCCAAATCCTCAACACCAGATCCTTGTCCGACTCCACCACATTGCCATACAAATAAGCTGGAGTGGCAAGAAAAGCCTGGTATATATATATAAAGAAAACTAGGGTTAGGAAAACCTAATCAACACTTATGAAAGAGATTTCGTGTATTTACGTGTATGGCAAAGCCGCAGAGCATGTACTTCTGTTGGATGTGCTTTTTGACCACCCTTCGTCTTTGGATTCCAGCGGTGGCTCTGGCAGTGGGTCTTCGCACTGGACTACTGGAGGCAGTGCCGACACCTACGCCCACGCTGCCGATCGCTGATGTCGTCATATAGCTAACTGGCTATATTGGCTTTCAAAGCTGATTTTGTGATCCTTGGATTATTAGAACACTAACACTGAGGGAGTAGTTTATCCGTATCCGTTTGCTGGGCACTTGGAATTTTTGTGTGCGGTCCGTCTAGTCGCTGGCATTCATCATTCACCAAACCCCAAAACCGTTTAGATAATGGGCCCAAGCTCACACACATATGGAACGAAACGGAGACCCGGTGAATCGGAGAACCGGAGAGGCAGGCTGATAACATCGTGGTTCTTATCACGATATACCAGAGATATCTGTGTCCACACACTGCACAAGTGTATCTGCGCAGCTGCGTATCTGTGTATCCGTGAGATTAACGTCAGATATGTAAAACGTTTGCCTGCAATTCAGTCAGCGAGCAGCTAGCGGCGTCAGCATTGGATTATGTTTATGGTCACCAGTTGGAGCAGATAAATGATTTCATGGGATGTAAGAGATACACATATCCCTAGACATCTGGTTGGTGGTGATCGTTTATAGCCTGACAAACGGGGTCACATCAAAGTGGCGATTGATTGGAAAATTCTGATTATGAAAAATCCTATTGTGAATCTGATATACAAATATCATTTATTGCTCGTCAAAGCTTATCATAAAGAACATATGTATGCATGTACATTCCACTCTTAGTTAGAAACACCTCTCTGATTTTGTTTGGTAAACTCTATGCTCTTATTGGCTTATAACATTCCAATGGAATGCAATTTTGTGAGCCACTACAACACTTTTACCGTCTATAAAACCACCAGTCATTATCTATCAACTTAAAATTTGAACTTTTAGCTAAGAGTGCTAAGAAAAATGGAAAACTATAGAAGCAGCATTACAAATATTGAAGATTATCCATCCATTTTATGACATGGAAAATATGATAGATTACTAAAAAAAAGTGACTCATCCTGAATTATGGGCACAGGAATTGGCAAAGATAGAACAATGATATGAAAAGATAAGATGTGGGAATACCATTAAGTTTTATATCATTAAGTTTGTTGGATAAATTAATGTAGAGAAAATTCCACAAATACATGTATTAGAGATCCTCAAAATAGATCTAGATTAAAGAGATCAGTTAGATATGAAGACTTGCCATTGTTGATGTTTAAACCTTTAATAACCGCTTTTAACAAGAAATCCGTTGAGCTGCGAAGTAAAGAGAAGATCGAATGTCACCTCAGTTTTTCCAGTTCTGGATGCGTCACGATCTTTGTTATGAATCTTCCCCTGGAAAGATTGGCAACAAAAACAGTAGCGTTAAAAAACAAGAACAAAAAAACGCAAATTACCGGACAAACAGATTTATCTAGAAGAGCTGCCATTCCGTCCACTTGACCTCACCTTAGATTTACCCGACGACTTATCTTTACACACTTCCGTTTCACATCCGCGGAGTATGTGGTTCGGGCTATATACTCCCGTACTTTACGGGTTTACAACTGTATTTTGCAACCGAAGAAAAAACCCTCCAGCGACGTCAGAGGAGGGCGAAAAAACAGGCAGATATTTTATTTGCATCATATACGGAACGTATCTGTATGTCTGTCTGTCTATCTATCAGATACAAATGGAGATACCGAATGTCGGCGGAGGAGGTGCTAAGCCCGATAAGGCGCCGCCAGCACAGCATCCCGGCCAGATTGGCCAGCTATATAATTGGCCGTATAGTCGGCCAGCAGCTCATACAACGATCGACCGACGTTAGCCACTGGCAACGATGACAACGACCACACCACTTACACAAACCACATTCACAGTGCGAAAGATGACGGGACGACGAATCTCCAAGTTCTCCACTATCCTGCTGTTCTGCGCCGCTTTGGTAAGTTTCCAACGATCCGAGGATTTGGAAGATACCTGACCATTTGCTAACTTGCAGCTGCTGACCAAGTCCTGCGGCATCCTGGCGCTCAGCGGCGACGGTTCGGTGTCCCAGGATGTAGGTAAGGCAGAGCCCTGGACCGAAACCACTACCATTCAGCCAACTGAGGATGGCAGCGGATCTGGTGGCTGGGAATTGACCACTGAGGCGGACACTACTCCTTCAAATGAGGAAACAACTGCTGCCAATGAGGAGACCACCATTTCTGATGAGGAGACTTCTACAGCTGACTCTGAGGATGAGGAGACCACCACTGCTGCTCCAGAAACCACACCAGCTGACCAGGAAAGCTCTTCCTCAGCTCCTGAAACTACATCTGCTTCTGAGAGTTCATCCGTTCCTGATGAAACCACTTCCGCTCCTGAAGAGACTACTTCTGCTCCTGAAGAGACCACTTCTGCTCCTGAGGAGACCACATCTGCTCCTGAGGAGACCACATCTGCCCCCGAGAAAACCACTTCTGCTGCGGAGGAGACAACCACCGTTGAACCTGCCCAACCGGATACCACCATTGCACCCACACCTCCCCCTTTTCAATGCCAGACGGCTGGACTATTTCCAGACAACAGTGGCGATTGCCGGCGTTACCATAACTGCCTATTTAATCCCTTACTGCGACAGCTCCAGGACATCGAGCTTACCTGTCCAGCATTGACCGTCTTCTCGCCGAGCCTGGGTAGATGTGTCAGGGATTTGGCCGAGTGCCAGGAGGATAGCTTCTCATGTTTGGCCGTGGGAAAATTTGCTGGACACGATGAGACCTATTACTATAACTGCGTGGCCAGTTTGCAGGGTGGATTCCACAAGTTCATTGTACGATGCTCCAGTGGCCAGAGATTCGAGCCCTTGATTGGAGGATGCTGGCGCTACGACTGGACACAGATTGTGCCCGGACAGGAGGCAACAGAGGTCAGTGATCTGGCTGCCATCAAGAGGGAACTAAAACTGTACAAGGCCGAACAGAAGCTGCGCCTAAAGGCCCAGAAGGAGCAAGAGAAGCTGGCCAAGAAGCAGCAGAAGCTAGAGGAGAAGGCTGCCAAGAAGGCGGCCAAGGAGCTGGCCAAGCAGCAGGCAAAGGCCGAGAAGGAGAAGGAGAAGGCCAAGGGCAAGAGCGAGTCCATTGAGAGTACCGAGTCCGAGGAGTAAAATCAGGCAACTCCAAGATCCTTTTCCTTCAGATAAACTAATCCATCTATGTTGGTCCTTTGTTCTAGTCTAGTTAAATTATCTTTCCTTTTTTTTTTGTGTTAACATTTTTATTGCTTTGTGGTGTAAATAAAGATTAAAAGAGAAATCATTGGAATATAGTTTGGGACTAAAATTAGTATAAGCCGTGTTGATAACCTTCCCATAGGATCAAAGTTCTTGTTTGTACTATATAAATTATGATATGTGAACAGGTGTGAAACCTTTTTCTAGAGAAAGGTAAGTCTTGATAAGCCTTTTAGTTTTTCTGTTACTCTCCACTCTTGGATACTATTCTAAGTGACATTATCTTAACTATGTTAATTAATTGCTCTGTTTTTCGGGAGCTCAAGCTATAAATAGGGAGAAAAAGTAAATACGTATTCAAGTTCTTAACAAAAATATGCAAGTTAGTAAAATAAATATTTAATATCTAGATATTAAAACGAAAATAAACATATTATAGTTACAAACAAGTAAAGTATTATCTGAGAAAGTTTTGGATGTATTTTTGATTCACAGTAGGGAAATGGAATGTTTTTCGTTCAAAAATATAGATAACAGATATTCTTAAAGATTTGCGGGTATATTATCTCGTTCGAAAGTGTGTTCATAGGGAGTCCCTATTAGGGACTATAAAAGCAAAAGAGATTCTAGAGATCTGACAACATCGTACATGCGCCGTCTGTTGGCAGTGTTGGGCAATTTGAAAAACATAAATCAAAAATAACATTTTCGTTTTGGTTTTAAATAAAGTAGGCCATTTCGTGTCACATGAGGTTCTATACTAGGGGGTTCTATGAGGTTCTATACTAAAATTTAGTTCACTTCGAAAGTCCGATCTGTGCGGTCAAGTTTCTATTTTATAAAAAATTAAAAAAAAAAAACCCAAAAAAGTTCAAACTCATTTCAAAAAGTAAAAAATAAAAAGTTCCTTTTAAACGACTGGTAATAGCATTCCAGTTTTTGGCATTCCGAATATCAGACAAAATATGTATGTAGCTGGTGTTTTTTGGTGTTTTTTTTGGTGCTTATAATAAACCACTTACATTGATATTCCAAAAGCTTATGAGATTTGAGAAAGTCTGTCAATCATATCAAAGCCAAGAACTACTCGTTCGATAACTGATGAAGACTGCAGCAGATTTCGAAGAGAGCCCTTCAATTTAAACATTTTCCACTTTTGTTTGCAGTAAGCCAGCGTTGTCAATGGCCTGCCTATGAAGTTGATTTCCTAAGGTAACCTTCCATAAAGCCAAAAAGCTTCACAGCGAAAACTTTTCTTCGACAATGAAGAAAAATTTTGCATAAAGGAGGAAACATTTTTGTTGGTCGATTGCAGGATCAGCTTATTCCTCTGGATGCAACATTTTTATGTTTACTGTAAAGTCTCAGTTGCACAACAAGAAAGGAGGAGTATCTATTATAAAGAATAGAATGTCTTCTTTGTTGTGCAATTGCGATTTCACAGTCAAACAATAAATGTTGCATTCGGAAGTAAAGAGCTCAAACTGAAAAGGATTAACCAAAATGTATTAGCCTTTTTGCCAAAGGTTTTCTTCTAAATCGAGGGAAGTAGTCGCTGCGAACCTTTTTCGTTTCCATGGAACGTGACCGCTGGAAATCAATTTCAAGGGCAGCCCTTGCCAAAGCTGGTTTATCGAGAAAATAGTGAGAACCTTTTGGATTATATCTGATATCAAGCACTATTTGGGCATTGGTTTCCTGGACAAGTAGGATTTTATCTATGTTGGCAGATGGCGACGGATAAGAGATTCGTACTCGGACTCGACATCTACTCGTACATATGTATGTATCACTCGACAGGTACTGTTGCCAGGAACTATGTAAAGCATTGAATTATATTTAAATATTTGATAAATAACAAACTCTACAAAAAAAACCATAGAATACTCACCGAAGAGCAGGCCATAAACCACCATATAGCCCAGGAAGGTAATTCTTTTAGAAACCTTTAGAATGATTGTAGAAGTCCTAATGTGGGAATTTCCACTACGGTTCGTGGGCCATTTATATTGATCCCTTATCTGAAGCTTAGTCACAACGCTTGACTTTTTGGCCACTATCATAGATGGTGGTTACCGACCAACTCACGCACCAGGTCCGAGTTCTGTCTTTATCAGCTAATCACTGGCAATCTGGAAGATTGCCACCGTCACCTTTTGGGCTTGGCTATAAAAGAGCCAGTTCGATTGTCCAGCCAGTTAGTCCGTCGAAAGAAGTTTCCAAAACGAAAACCTGAAATTACGAAACCCATAACGACATGTTCAAGATATCGATGCTTCTGGGCCTGGCCCTCATCCTGGCCCCATCAATGATCCATGCCAAATCCCTGTGTCGGGAAAGCGGATACTTCGCCTTAGTGGATAAAACACCCGAATATTACGCTTGCCAGGCCATCGGCTCAGGTGTCTTCTCTACTCGATTCTTGCGTTGCCCCGACGGTCTGGTCTTCAGCTCCTCGGTGGCTCAATGCATTCCTTCGATCTCCGCGTTTGAGGCTCGTGAGAATAGCGACATCGAGAATCCCACCATTCCCACCGATACGCCCGGGAACCTAAACGATAGCACGGTCGATCCAACCACTGAAAAACCAGCCACTGAAGCTCCTGCAACGACTGAAGCTCCTGCTACGACTGAAGCTCCTGCAACGACTGAAGCTCCTGCAACGACTAAAGCTCCTGCAACGACTGAAGCTCCTGCCACCACTGAAGCTCCTGCCACCACTGAAGCTCCTGCCACCACTGAAGCTCCTGCAACCACGGAGAAACCTGCCACCGATGCTCCTGCAACCACGGAGAAGCCTGCCACCGATGCACCTGCAACAACGGAGAATCCTGCCACTGTAACCGATGAACCTGTCACCGATGAGCCTGTCACCGATGAACCTGTCACCGATGAACCTGTCACCGATGAACCTGTCACCGATGAACCTGTCACCGATGAACCTGTCACTGATGAGCCTGTCACCGATGAACCTGTCACCGATGACCCTGTAACTGATGAGCCCAGTACTGCCACCACTACAGACGGCGACGTGACCGAAACTACCAGCGATGATGATGGGAATGAGATCAATTGCGCTACCACCGGATTTTTCCCAATAGCTGACTGCAGTAAATTCGTGCTCTGCACTTATGCCGATTCCAATGAACTCCAAGGCTTTATCTACAAATGCCCCAACGGACTGAACTTCAATCCCTATGAGGGATACTGTGTAGAGAACTACACGTGCTGAAAACCTACTAAAAAGGAGGTTGATCCCTTCGGTAATCGAGGATTGAATGGGTGGCTGGTAATGATGAAATGCAATAAAAACCAGTCACTAAAGCAACAAAGTTGTAGCTTTTATTTACTTCATTTTTTTTTTCAAATGTGATTACCTTTTTTTTTGTTTTTGTTTTGAAGTGAATAAATTCTAGTTAAATTATTATTAATTCTATTGGGAATCATATTTACCATCTTGATAGGCTGTCAAGTGGTTGCGTATGACGGCAATTTCAATTTCAATTCCGATTTCATTCGCATTATCCATCAAGGTGATAAGAAAGGGGCCCATTAGGGTTCTACTATCTTATCGCCTGTCATTAACGCTACGCTTGACCATTCACCCAAAATGACAAATTAGCCTAGCGAAGATGTCGCCAAATCAATTTCCTGATCACAAATTAACCTTATAGATTAGAGTATTAAACTTGAAATTAGTATGGCCAAGAAAATAGAAGATTGAAGAAAAATCAAAGGAAATGGTTAGACATTCTGAGAGTGTATCATCCATTGAACCTTGGCATGGTTATTCTCTGGAATATTATCTAATCTTTTTGGAAACATATTTGCTACTTTCATTCATCTTTTCTCTGTCTGGCAGAAGCTTGTGATTTACCACTCTGAGCTCCTGGAGATGCATCTTATCTTTTCTGAAATAAAGTTAAATAACTTTATACAAAATTTAGCACTGCTGTTCAGCATAACATGAACAAGCTCTTTTTCTTTTAGAATATTCTTAAAACAAAAAAAAAAATATATATAAAATATGAATAAGCTGTTGCGGAACTCAATTAATGGCATTTAACAGTTCCTGGAATATTATCTTATCTTTTAAGACTAAATTGTCTTTGATTGATGGAATGCCTAGTGATTTGTTATTGTTTCCTTAGTTTTTAGTTTTTTAATTTTTTTTTACTTATGAATCCTTTTTGTAGAATTCCATTTGTTGTGGTTAATTAATCAAAGATTAAGTGTCGTAATTAGGAGTCCAAATAATTGTTCGAACCCTAAGTTGGTAGGCTTTTTTAATCAATTAAGAATTCCCCGAATACTATCTAATCATTGTGAAATGAATATAAATAATTAGTACTTATGATTCCCTTTTACGACTTTTTTTTTTGTATTTTTTAATGACATTTTTTCTGTTGATTACAAAAAAGATTGAGAAGATATTTTTATGATAACTGATACTGGTTAAGTCCCTTTGGTGAAGGTTCTTTTCCTTGATGACCTTGTCTATACGCTTGAGAAAATTAAAGTTCATAAAACTCAATTAATTATTCCTCGTTATAAGCTATCTTTCTTCCTTCATGAAACCGACATTCAATCACGTTTTGTTGTTTTCACAGCGGTAATGAATGAAAATAACCGAGTTATCTGGCGGATTCCGTGTCTTTGGTCAGTGGGTGGTGGCGAGTGCTTAATAAACTTCCGCATGGTAGAGCACGGGTCAAAAACTCATGATAGTTTGGATTATTTTTGCAGGGAGAGCGGGGGATCTGCAATGAATGCGATAAATGCGCAGGTTATGCGCATGGTACCTCCACAACCCGATGAATTCCCAAATGAGTGAAAGTCTCTCACCGGGCGCTGTCGCAATGGGCAATGGGGCTCGGTCCGCTGCCCGGAGAAGTTGCATAAAAAAAACCAGAGCCGAGGAAAGACTTCGGAGCATCGGCGACACCGCTTGGTTGGACAATTGCGCATGCGCGTAGCTCGTTAAAATGCTTTATTTTTTTTTTTTGCTCTAACCAAACTGGCGGCGGCAACAATTAAAGCAGGCCAAAACTCTGGCCAAAAATTGGCCATTTGTAGGCAATAGTCCAGGCACGTACAGCTAGCTACAGCCAAAGCCCCATCTCCTCCATCCTCCTAAACAATCGCAATCATAAAAGCCTGGATACGTGCATAGTGCCATTTGGCACACAAGTTGTTGCCATTTGGCCCTAAACGGTCATAGGCAAATGTGAAGTTAAATTGAGTTGGCAAACACGGAAAGAAAAGATGATGAATTCTTATAAATTTGAGCAGCTTCTTGGGTTGTTTAGCTTGGCAGCATGTAATGAATAAAGTAAGAAGTTTGAGCAGTTTAAGATTAATGATATATTTTTAAAACATTTTGGATTATAGAATAGAAATTATGTTTACCTTTATAAACATCTCGAAAAATATTCGAGAACTTTAGAAAAAGTTTTTAAAACTTATAACGAAAATATTCATTTAAAAGCTAACTTTATAATATGCACAGCAAGATATGTTTTGCAGCATTTTTCCCGAACTAAAATCCTATCTTCTTTGATCCCAGAAAGTATAATCTTCGAAATCTTCATAAATTTTTGCCTGGCCAGTTTTACAGACGGTTTTGCACATTGACTTGGCTATCATCATGGCAACTTCAAATATTGACTTGTTGCGCTTTTACTTTTTGCGCAGTGTAGATAGCGAGTAACGGGGTCAGTCACAGCATATTACCCATCCTGCATCTCGAACAGTGGATCGCTCTTGTTGACCACTTTCATTTTGTGCAAACTCGAGGAACAATCGACGCACCGAACGACAAACATTTGCGTGCGAACATTTTTCGGTTTCGTTTTATTTGGGTTTGGGTTTGTTTTTGTTTTTGTTGTTATTATGATTTTGTGATTTTAAAATTTTGGGTGGGGACACCCGAGATAAATGGACTGATACAATTGTATCTTTTTTTGAATGCCAACCCAGACTCGTACTTGTTGTTATGTCATTTGCACATTTACACGTTGTCGCCGCTAGCCCGCCTTTTTTGTTTTATTATATCTTTTTTCTCAGTTTTTGGGCCGTGTTGTGTTACCCGTCAAGATCAACATTGAAATGTTGTACAATTATGCCACCGGAGATGTCATCGCAAATGCGACTATGATGCTTCTCTAGACCACAGGCCCATTAAGATTATGTGTGGCATCAGCAGCAGCAGCGGCAGCAGCAGCAGCAGCTTCCTAGTAAAAGCCAAGCTAAAACAATGTTGCAGTTGAATAACTGCCATAAGCGGCGTAATCATGATTTGGAAATTAAGAAAATTGTCAACTTTTAAACAAATGTGAACGATGTAACGTGCTTTGGGTAATCCATCGATCTGCTAATGTTGCAAAACTCCCCCTTAATTGAGGAAATCTTTAGAAAATGCTTAAAATGTGATTATAGGTAATACCTAAAGGAATACAAAAGTAAGTCATTTGATCATAGATGTTAATTTCAGGGAATACAGTTACTTGACAGCCTTGCCACTTGACCTTTTTAGGCGTTGTTTGAACGCTTAATCTAACACCTAGCTCTCTGGTTTACACTAACTAATTGCCTGAATAAAAGGGTCACTGAAAATTAACTTATTTTTTACTTTTCGTAATTCAAAGTCGCGACAATTGGTTTATATTTTGTTCGTAAAAGATGATTTAAGTTGGATTAACATATATTTTCAAAACCTTTAACTCTGTTTTGTTTACGTTTTTAAATCTCTGAAAAATATCTGAAGGTATTCGTGGAAGTTATAATGTGTTTGCAGTTAAATTTTTAATAATTTATATAATTTTTGATTTGCATTTTTGATCATCAAAATTTTCGAAAAATGGCCCAAACCTGGCAGTTCAAACTGTGAATGCAGTTTTGATAAGCATAAGAAAACACGCTCTGCGAGGTATTACATTCCTTATTTGGGCCATTATTGGCCAAGTTATGAGCAAAACTCTGTACAGTTTGAAAGTACCAAAATTCCCATTTTCGATAAGGGGTACCATCATCAAAATTTTCGAAAAAAAATTATCGAAAATGCGAATTTTGGCTTCCCCAAACCCTACAGAGTTTTGCTCATAACTTGGCCAATAATGGCCCAAATAAGGAATGTAATACCTCGTAGAGCGTGTTTTCTTATGCTTATCAAAACTGCATTCACAGTTTGAAATGTAAAATTTGGGCCATTTTTCGAAAATTTTGATGATGGTACCCCTTATCGAAAATGGGAATTTTGGCTTCCCCAAACCCTACAGAGTTTTGCTCATAACTTGGCCAATAATGGCCCAAATAAGGAATGTAATACCTCGTAGAGCGTGTTTTCTTATGCTTATCAAAACTGCATTCACAGTTTGAAATGCCAAATTTGGGCCATTTTTCGAAAATTTTGATGATGGTACCCCTTATCGAAAATGCGAATTTTGGCTTCCCCAAACCCTACAGAGTTTTGCTCATAACTTGGCCAATAATGGCCCAAAAAAGGAATGTAATACCTCGTAGAGCGTGTTTTCTTATGCTTATCAAAACTGCATTCACAGTTTGAAATGCCAAATTTGGGCCATTTTTCGAAAATTTTGATGAATTTTGACCCCTTATCGAAAATGCGAATTTTGGCTTCCCCAAACCCTACAGAGTTTTGCTCATAACTTGGCCAATAATGGCCCAAATAAGGAATGTAATACCTCGTAGAGCGTGTTTTCTTATGCTTATCAAAACTGCATTCACAGTTTGAAATGTCAAATTTGGGCCACTTTTCGAAAATTTTGATGATGGTACCCTTATCGAAAATGCGAATTTTGGCTTCCCCAAACCCTACAGAGTTTTGCTCATAACTTGGCCAATAATGGCCCAAATAAGGAATGTAATACCTCGTAGAGCGTGTTTTCTTATGCTTATCAAAACTGCATTCACAGTTTGAAATGTCAAATTTGGGCCACTTTTCGAAAATTTTGATGATGGTACCCTTATCGAAAATGCGAATTTTGGCTTCCCCAAACCCTACAGAGTTTTGCTCATAACTTGGCCAATAATGGCCCAAAAAAGGAATGTAATACTTCGTAGGGCGTGTTTTCTTATGTTTATCAAAACTGCATTCACAGTTTGAAATGCCAAATTTGGGCCATTTTTCGAAAATTTTGATGATGGTACCCCTTATCGAAAATGCGAATTTTGGCTTCCCCAAACCCTACAGAGTTTTGCTCATAACTTGGCCAATAATGGCCCAAATAAGGAATGTAATACCTCGTAGAGCGTGTTTTCTTATGCTTATCAAAACTGCATTCACAGTTTGAAATGTCAAATTTGGGCCATTTTTCGAAAATTTTGATGATGGTACCCCTTATCGAAAATGCGAATTTTGGCTTCCCCAAACCCTACAGAGTTTTGCTCAAAACTTGGCCAATAATG